AACACCTCATGTATGATACGCAATTGTGAATTAATATACATAAACTAGTACTAACATGAACAGTGAGTGCCGGGTCTTCAGCTCCACTGTACAAAATGCAATGCACGTACAGTGTCTTTTTTCGATGGCTTTTTTATTTTTTTCACCCGCCCTCATTCATTGCATCGAATATTTAAGGGTGGCGCGAAACAGAACAAAAAATCCTTAAAAAAAGATGCGGATGTCAGAAGTGGGATTCGAACCCACGCCTACAGAAGTAGACTGCGACCTGAACGCAGCGCCTTAGACCACTCGGCCATCCTGACATGCACACTGACCTCCTAGTAGCGGTGTCCTTCGCACATGTACACTACTGTGCAAGGAAATCCAGTCATGTCACTCAAATACGCGCCGGGCATTGCGCAGTCCTAGGGGGCGTTCGTTTTTGATCTACACGTTTGGGTGGAAACTACTTCTTTCGGAAGAGGTGTTGGTTCTTTTCTACTCAAAAGGGTAGATTCTACTTTCCTCTACCGGCTCTACCAGGAAAAAGTTGGCAGAAGCCGGTAGAAGTTGGTAGAGCTGCGGGATTTCTAGCAAGATCAAGGATTTGTACACAACTCCATACATAAGAGAAACATTTCAGGTACATAATTATCGTGTTAACTACTAAATCCGGTAGAACAGCGTTCGTGCACTTACCTCTACCATCTACCTCTATCGGTAGAGTGACTCTACTCTACTCTACCAGGTAGCTAAAAACAAACGCAGCCCTTTACCTGCGAACACTGGGCTACGAAATGGTGCAAGGCGCAAACTTGAATGAAGCAACTGGATTTCATTGAGGAGCACTGTAGTTGACAGCCAGCATGCAATAGGGAGGTTTCGCTCTATGTCATTACGTATGAAAATCCGTATGTCGTACGCGCTGGGGAGCGAGGGCAACTTTCATACGTAAATCTCTCTACGGATTTCCGTAGGAAAGCTCTTTCCTACGTTGGGTCCTCCGTAGGACTTTTTGAAATATTTTTCGCATTTTCCTGATTTGTCCATGGCATGCGCGCCGGCAACGTTGAAGCCGCGCGAAACACAAGGTACACACACCGTACACCACGTGCAAAATAAAATGGAAAACGCGGTTTCTGTTCGTGGTGCATGCGGTGGGCGCATGCAGGCAACGTGTCTCCAAAGCAACAACGCTTGTTTAGCAGTCGTGGAGAAATCACGTAGAGCGAAACCCAACAGCTCTGATTTTTACGTATGAAAATTCCGTGCAGTTCCTACGTTATTTCCATACGTAATTCCGAAGAGCGAAACCTACCTATTAAAAAATCTTAAAAAATGTTGATGTCAGAAGTGGGATTCGAACCCACGCCTACAGAAGTAGACTGCGACCTGAACGCAGCGCCTTAGACCACTCGGCCATCCTGACATGCACACTCTACAACAGTTTGGACCTGTTGAAACAGTTCACCTTTTACAGCACCGTGTATCACATGATTGTATTATTAGTGAGAAATCTCTGGATATTGTCTCGTACGTAAAGGCTGGGATGTCTGTTGTTTGGCAGTTCTGGGTACGTGACCGTGTCATGCATTGCTATAGGGTATCTAGTAAAGTGGAATTCTTTAGACGCCCCCCCCCCCCCCCCCACACACACACATACAGACCCCCCCCCCCCCCACACACACACACACACACTGTGCCACGCCAATCTTGCACTTGCTCTGGCGCCCACTCACAACTAGATGGATGTTCTAAAAAACGGCATATGCATGCCATGGGTGCAATTCTGCCAATATGATATGAGAGTGGTCTGCATACTCTGCACAGTATGTATCCCGGTACCAGCACACTCTACATCAGGGAGTAGTAAAGTAATGGTATTTTTACTACTCCCACTGTCACTTACCGTACTTTCCGGAGTATACACCGCACTTTGAACACTCAGATTTTACCCAAAAAGGGGGTGAGGCTTATACTCCGATGATCAAATTCACGGTGATAAATAGGGTAGATGTTTGTATTTCGTGGCAAAAAAAAGTGAGGGTGCGGCTTATACACCAGTGTGGCTTATACTCCAGTGCGGCTTATACACCAGTCCAGCTTATATTCCAGTGCGGCTTATACTCCAGTGCGGCTTACACACCGGAAAATACGGCACATGACGTTGTGCAGCTGTGCTTGGTGAAATCCCTCCCAGAGTGTATACTAGTATTTGTTGCCATCACGTTGCACGGCCCTTTCGGAACGTCCTGGAAGTGGTGGTACGACTGCTGTTGGAACTTCACATGTCCATGTACACAGCCGCTACTGTAATGAGAACTGATCACACTCTGATCATTGTAGTCATGTCGGAAAAAGAGATTTTAGTTGGACTGGGCCGCTGAAGAACAGTCAAAGTATAGTGCTGGATGTGCTCCAAGAAAACTATCACGCATGAGTCAGTGCCACAGAGTGCAGACCAGAGAAATCCAACCTCATGAATAAAGTAGTACCGCGTTCGAGTGCACAGACCTGCAGTGTGTGTAGCGCTAGGGCTGCGTAGCGCCCGGCAACGCTATTTTATTCACGAGGTTGGATTTTTTTGGCCAGTATTGTGCATTTGTGGAATGGAATCTATGCATTGTGTGAGCTCCCATAGCTCAGTCGGTTAGAGCGTCGTGCTAATAACGCGAATGTCGCAGGTTCGAGCCCTGCTGGGAGCACGCTCTTTTTTTCACCGAGCTCGTTTTCTTGAAAGTTTGATGAGCAGGTCCTATCACCTAAATTACACAGAACGTATTGTTGTTGCCCGAGGATCACTTTTGCTTGGAACTCTGTGTTTAATACAATGTATTTAATCTCTTCTGTGCAACTATAAAGGTTGATTTACCGTATTTTCCCGAGTGTACACCCGGAGTGCGTACCTGTGAAATATACCATATTTTCCCGAGTGTAAGCCCCCCCCCCCCCACACACACACACATTTTGGCCACGATATTCAGATATCTAACCTTTTTTTTAGGGGCCATCCGTAATTATCGAACGTTTTTCACCAAACGAATTATTTTAGTACCCAACCCCTCCCTCCCTCCCCCTCAGAACGTAAAAAAGTTTGACATATGCATGCAAATACAACAAAAGTTGCAGGTGTGCACCTGCTCCTGCGACCATGTACATGCATCAATGTGTTCTGAAACGAAATTGGTCAAACCCCTCCCACCCCATAACGAAATTATTTCGTTTTGTGAAAAAAGTTCGATATTTATGGACGACCCCTTATCATCGTTAATTTGATCATCGGAGTACATGTATAAGCTGCACAACTTTTTTTCAGGGTAAATTTTGAGTGTTCTGAGTGCGGCTTATACTCGCCGGGAAAATACGGTAAATCAACCTTTGCAGTGAAATGTATATTTTCTTCGAAAAGTCGAACTGCTCGATTGCCAGAACAGAGAGAACTTATTCCAATCTCACCAGGGCAGGAATACCATGAACTGTGCACTGATGTTCCCAGTGTCCATGCTCCTGGTCAACATAATCAAACACCCCAGTTCTATCGCCCCGTTTTCTAAACAAAGAGATTGAGCAATTGTCATCCAACTGGGTTTGTGGATGTTGTGCTGAAAGCTCCCGTAAGGCACCATAGCCCAACTAACTCCGTATCACTGCCTCACTCCCTATGTAAATGGAGGGTTAAGAACCCATGGCTGCTTTAGACGATGGTTTGTGTGAGGTGTGGGTGGCAGCACCCGGTAAACGGGTGTTAGCGGCTGTCGTGAGTTCCCTTTGAGAACGGATACGATACTTTACTTTATTTAATGGATGCAGTCACCTGTCTCCACGTGAGCTCCCATAGCTCAGTCGGTTAGAGCGTCGTGCTAATAACGCGAATGTCGCAGGTTCGAGCCCTGCTGGGAGCACGCTCTTTTTTGTTCTTTTTTTCTTGAAATTATTGGTAGCCCAGAAGTTGAATTCATTTACGAGCCGAAGGAAGAAATCAAAATCATATGCAAAGAGAGAAACTAGCGAGAAGAAACATGGCAAACCCTGAAAGCAGGTCCACTCTTTCTTTTCTTGGGTTGTTTTCTCCTACAACCTCACCTCCCACCGCTTTAGGAGCTGCATCTGCGCCTTGATCCTTAAGGAGTGGTGGCGTTCTTACGGATGCGGAAAACTCTGCCTCCAGCCGAGTCTCACATGAACCGTTAAATTCTTCTTCTTTTTTTCCTTCTAGTTTTCAAAGTGACTGAAATCTTGATCATCGAGATGACAACCTTGCAACACGTGAGCTCCCATAGCTCAGTCGGTTAGAGCGTCGTGCTAATAACGCGAATGTCGCAGGTTCGAGCCCTGCTGGGAGCATGCTCTTTTTTTGTTCTTTTTTGACTGTATGCACCAGCAAGCTAGGACTGTAGAGTACTGAAATAGTAGGGAGGTTCCGGAGTACGATTTTTCGTGCCAAAATCCGTGGAGGCGCTACGGATTTTTTATACGTCGTTTTCGGGCAGTGAAAAGTTCCGGGGTACGGAACTTATGTGTTTGCCGTCATTGCCTAGGTTACGATCGCAAACACGTCACATTCCCGCGCTATGCCTTTTTATTTTGAAAATTTGTACCGAAATCAAAACTTCCCGCGGAAAATCCATGTTTCTCGTACCAAATTTGTACGCGAAAAATCTTTCTGCACCCGATGACGCAAAATCTCCATACGAAACATGGTTCGTGTGAAAGCCAGTCCACACGGATTCTCCGTGCCGAAAAATCGTATGGAGCACGCCTGGAAAAAATCCGTAGCGCCCATACGGATTTTGGCACGGAAAATCGTACCCCGGAACCTCTCTAATACGAGTACCCATGCCAGCCTGCCTTGCCGCTCTGGAGTGTGTCTTGCGCAGCGAATGAAAAATTAAGAGTAGACATCATTCGCATGTTGAAATGCTATTCATTACAATTACTCTCTCTCTCTCCCTCTCTCTCTCTCTCTCTCTCTCTCTCTCCTCTCTCTATTCCTCGTTTGTGCACTTGTGTGTGTCTAGGAGTTTTGGAATTCTGTTCTTTGAGTTTACGACGGCTGGCTCAGTACCGTACAGCAGCTTCACAAACCCAGAGACCAAGGAGAAAGTCAAGGAAGGCTATCGCCTGCCCTGTCCTGTCGACTGTCCCGAAGATGTCTACACTATCATGAGGAAGTGCTGGCATGCGGTCCCAGACAACCGTCCAGTGTTCAGTAACATCGTGTCAGACCTCAAGAAACTACAACCAAAGTAAGTTACTCAGCTGTTACTTCCCAGTGGGGAGTTCACACATGGGGCACAAGCCAGCTAAAACTGACACGTCGTATTAGAGTGAAATGTGTCCAAAACATTATTCCAGAAAATTGTCACTTTGCCCGCCAGCTGCTTGAAGTATACCGCCAAACAAGTGTAAGAACAAAGTTCGACAAGATGATATCGCCACCGGTTGATGAGTGAAGCACAGCTTGAACGCGCTTGACGGAAGCATTGTTTCATTCCGGCATGTCTCAAAACACTTCCGAAACCCCATAGACCTGCCATGCCGGTCTTAGCTGACCTCGGTTCATATTCCCTACCACCATCAGTGACTGGCTGGTAGAACTTGTTACTACGGTAGTACTCGTATCAAGAGTACATAGCCCCCCCCCCCCCCCCATGGGCGTGCAACTCCAGCCTTTTCTGATCTGCGGTGGCAGGACTTCACATCGTGTGACAAACCCGTACACATTATTTCCACTGTGTGCATGCTAGATTCAGGGCTGGCGTACAGCCATGCTTTGGGCACAGCTATCTGCTGGTCACTTTGCACTATTTGCCAGTGTAACCTACTCAGCAATGCCAGGACTGAGGTGGTGTAAAACTCTGCCGTTCTGGCATTGCTGGATAGAGGTTGTGCAGGCAGCTGTGCAGGCAGCTGTGCACCCCTGGCGGATATCTGCTCTACAGTACTACGTCAGTAGCTCGTATCAACCGTGTGTGGAAGCCGAGATGACCAATCTTCAGAAAATCTCGTGGTTCTCTGAAGGTAGTGTGGCATTCGTGTGATGCCTGTAAAAAATATATCCTCTTTTAAGGCCAAGTAAAAAAATTGATTGTTTATCGTTCGCGCCCGCCCCAAATTTTCACCCTCCCCGCCGAATTATTTTATTTTTTAATACTGGTAAATGTACTGTATGTACTGCGGTCTACAGCCTCTAATCAGCATGGCCGTAGATTTTCGAAGGTCAAGTCCACAGACTGAACCATAACTTAGTTGCTATGGGCTTGAAAAGTGAAACTGATCGTAAGCTGCCTGATTTTCTTCGTTTTTCTACGTAACGTTGGTTGTTCCACTTTCCATTATCCTCTGGGGTTGCGAACACCTGCCCTACAGCCATAAATGCATAATAAAAAATAAAATTAAAAACCTCCTGTCCGCCCCGATTTCTCAAGAAAATCTGACGATAAACAATCAATATATTTTACATGGCCTAATAGTAGACAACATGGGGGGAAAAGATTTTTTGTTTTTACCGAATATTGTCCACCGTCAGGACTAGTGCACGGCTATTGAACTGTACACGTTTCATCGGGGATTTTGAATCGGTGTCTGCTAATGAGGTTTGTCTTGTACGAGTAGCCAATGCCGTACTAATGAGTGTAAACCTATTGTGTGAATGCAGATACAAGTCGCAGGGTGATGGGCGTGCTGCGCCGTCACGTGGCTCGTCGTTTGGCAGTGTAGCGTCTGCGGATGCTGGCGACTTGCCATCTGGAAAGTAGGTCATTGGCGTTGGTGTGGTGTTACTTATTACCGCGGCTACATGCTCATTACCGCTGTGAAACCAACTGCCCCATGATTTTACTCATAGCGGCCCACCACATCACACTACAAAACTCCTCTATAACCACTCCCTCACACCAGAAGCCACTCTATTCCACTATAACCAGTTCATTCCACTAAAACCAGTCCATTCCACTAAAACCAGTCCATTGTACTGTAATCAGTCCATCACACTATAACCAGTCCATTCCACTATAACCAGTCCATTCCACTATAAGTAGTCAATTTCACTACAGCCATTCCATTCCACTATAACCAGTCCATTCCAGTATAACCTGTTCATTCCACTATAACCAGTCCATTCCACCATAACCATTCCATTCCACCATAACCAGTCCATTCGACTAAAACCAGTCCATTGTACTGTAATCAGTCCATCACACTATAACCAGTCCATTCCACTATAACTAGTCAATTTCACTACAGCCATTCCATTCCACTTTAACCAGTCCATTCCAGTATAACCTGTTCATTCCACTATAACCCGTCCATTCCACCATAACCAGTTCATTCCACCATAACCATTCCATTCCACCATAACCAGTCCATTCCACCATAACCAGTCCATTCCACTATAACCAGTCCATTCCGCTATAACTAGTCAATTTCACTACAGCCATTCCATTCCACTATAACCAGTCCATTCCAGTATAACCTGTTCATTCCACTATAACCAGTCCATTCCACCATAACCAGTTCATTCCACCGTAACCATTCCATTCCACCATAACCAGTCCATTCGACTAAAACCAGTCCATTGTACTGTAATCAGTCCATCACACTATAACCAGTCCATTCCACTATAACTAGTCAATTTCACTACAGCCATTCCATTCCACTATAACCAGTCCATTCCAGTATAACCTGTTCATTCCACTATAACCCGTCCAGTCCACCATAACCAGTTCATTCCACCATAACCATTCCATTCCACCATAACCAGTCCATTCCACTATAACCAGTCCATTCCACTATAACCAGTCCATTCCACTATAACCACTCTATGTTGGGGAAAATAGCAAGAGTGGACGAAAACCCGGATGATCTTATTCACTGTTTATATTTTGCACACCTACGTGGGTGCATGTGTGCATGTGTGCGTGTGTGTGTGTGTGTGTGTGTGTGTGTGTGTGTGTGTGTGTGTGTGTGTGTGTGTGTGTGTGTGTGTGTGTGTTTACTTGTGCATGCATATATGTTTGCATGCATCCTCCACCATGCCAATCAGACTGAGCAAGCCAAAGAAAGACAAGGAGAAAGACAGCAAACTGAAGAAACGCTTCACCTTTGCCAAGGCCGATCAAGCGAAAGTCAAGGTCAGCCTTAGTGTTTGATACTGGATTTATTTGTAAGAGTGTTGCAAGCAAGTAGACAACAGATAGCACCTCATGTCTATTTGGTTGAGCAAGAACTCACTGTCATTTGCCGTGTGATGAAAATTCAGGAAGCAATACTTGCGTGTTACCCATACATCCCTGGCATTGTCCAGTGCATGTCGTTCCGTTAGAATCCCCAGAAGATAGTTGATCATGATTTATTGATTACACTGTATGTGTGTGGCTGGGAACACACTCAACTTTGCGGCCAGTCATTGGATTCCATGCCATTTCGCGCCCTCGAGTTCAGCACCAACCACTGTGAGCGCGACCGTTTCAGCGCTGTGAACGTAAGCGTCGACTTTCACAGTGCCAAATGTTGCAGCGCCGAATACTTCAGCGCCAGTAGATAAGCGCCAAATATCTCAGCGCTACATATGTCAGCGCCAAATATGTCAGCGGCAAATACGTCATCGCGACCTTTCTCAGCGCCACATGCCGGTATCTCAGCGCCATGTATCACAGCGCCAATTTATTGATAGCAAATTGTTACTAGTATACATCGTTTAGTGCCTGACTTTGCGCTGCACTTTATCATGCTGTGCATGTTCGCTCTGTACTATATTGCGCTGAACGTCTTCGCACTGTACGTTTTCGCGCTGTACGTTTTCGCCCTGTAAATCACCGCACATTACTTTTTGGCGCTGTACTATATCGCGCTGATAGTCATGGCGGTGACGAAGCTGGCGCTGTGAAACCAGGCGCTGAAGTGCCGACGTTGAAATGTATCGCGCTGAAACGGTGGTGCTGAAACGGTAGTGCTGAAATGGCGGCGCTGAAACGGTGGCGCTGAAATGTATCGCGCTGACACGGTGGCGCTGAAGTGGCAAGTCACCAGTTATAGCAGGCTATTGTCTCACAATGTGGGCAGCTCTATTCATGTTTCCATTGAGCACTGTCGCAGCAGCAGCCATGCCTTCTGACCTGTGTGTGGGCCAAGATACCGCCGTGTAAAATGTTTACTCCCTTCAGAAGAGAGCTGATCAGAACCTCGATTGTTCTGGCTGTATGCTGGTTAAATTCCGCAGACTACAGTGACAGAAGCTACTTAAATGAATGCATCAGTGCATCCCCATTGTAGTTTAGAGATGGAGTCCCAAGGGTGTTTTAACTCTCGCTTGTTGAATATTCTTCCTTGGCTGTTGTTCCCAGGTGGACCAGCTAGTTCGTCTTTACACGTTGTTTGTGACGCCGTTTGAGACGTACACCATTTTCCAAGTGAAGAAGAAACACCGTGCATCAGACTTGGTTGCCAGTGCACTGAAATACCTGGGCAAGAGTAGTGATGACGTCTCGCAGTAAGTGAACTGCTCAACTGTATTGTCCTGTGTCCGTCTGCGTACACGTTTGTTCGTGTGTGCACCTGTCTGTGTGTGTGTGTGTGTGTGTGTGTGTGTGTGTGTGTGTGTGTGTGTGTGTGTGTGTGTGTGTGCGTGTGTGTGTGTGTGTGTGCTTGCAACGCCATGCCAAATATTGTTGACTTTGCGATTTCTCTCTCTTCTCTTCTCTCTTCTTGTCGTTGTCTCCCGCTTCTGGGAGCGGTGTGGCCCGATAGGGTAGCTGTACATAGTAGTAGTAGTGTGTATGTGTGTGTGTGTGCGTGTGTGTGTGTACATCCGTGCAACACACATTTCCTAATGTTTCATACACATGCAATTGTGCAGGGTCCGTTATCCTTTCTTTTTTGTGTTGGTGCATATGTTGTGAACAAAGCTTGGTTAACCGTTGCTACACGTCAATGACCAAACGGCTCGAAGCTGCCTTTCCACAAGGCCCAATGGTGTGAAAGCCTGGGTCACGTGGAGTAAAAACAACTTGAAACAATTCGTTTTGCTGTGTGTGTTTTGCGCCGACTTTCCACTGGCTAGCGACAGAACCAGATAAACAATAATCTGAATATATCCTCTGGGAAGATTTCCAGCTGATGGTCGGAAATGTGGCAAGAAAAGAACGGATTCGAAATTGTATTGCTTCTCCGTTTTGCTGTTCGCAGGTATTCTTTGGTGGAGGTAAAACTGAACCTGAGTGGTGAGTTTGACTCGCGCTTTATCGCTAGCCACGAGAATCCACTAGCAATCAAGGCTACTTGGAACAAGCCTGGAAAATTCCTGCTCTGTTGCAGTATGGGAAATACAGAAATCCTGCAAGCGATCAATGGATTCTTGAAAAAGGTACAAGTCATGTTATCTTGTGCTTTATTAGAGACCTGACTTTACTGCTGGCTAGTCATGTGTGCGTGCACATTTCATCCATGCCAGCCTGTCTGACTGGGTCTGAGTGAATATGTATCTCACATGACCATCAAGGTTATCGCCCACATCACCTTTTCATTGGCTAGTGCCACTTGATTGTGAATAAATAAATAAATAAATAAATGAGTAAAAGGTTCTATTACACAAATATTGCTGATTTGTATCTAGTGAGTGGCGTATTGCATACTTGAATATACAAACGTAGACCCCGGCTAATCTCTGCGGTGAGTGTGTATGTCCTCTTTTCATTGTAGTATATGGAAGCAGTTCTCTCATCCATTGTTTATGGAGGCACATCTGACATCCATTGCATGACGTATAAGGGAGAACGTCTTCCATGCATAGTTTATGGGGACGTAGACTTCTACTGGGCTTCTGTGAAGAGTCCGCAGTGTGGTATAGACGAGACCAAAAATTAGTGGCGGTCAATTCATCAGCCTTGCAGCCTTTTGAATGGTGTAATCCCAGCCCAGCACTAGTCTCTATATCTAACATAACAGGTAGATTGTTGGCTATCATCGCTTCAGTGATGGGCAGGTGTTTAGTGTTGTGAAGAGAGCCGTGTTTGCGGAATGGTGCTCCTCATTCTTAACTTGGCTTGCCTACCTCTCTCTCAATGTGTCTTGTAGTCTGAGAACATCACACGAATGTCAGAAGCAACTCGCGGTTACATTCTCAAGTTTGATGAGTATGTGGAGGGAGCGAAGTCGGTGGGACGGCGGAAGCGAAGCAACTGGCCGAGGTTCTGGGCCGTCCTGGATGGTTCAACTGTCTTACTGTATAAAGATGAGGAGGTAAGTTTCCAGAGCTAGTGTGTTGATAGCATTTATCGATATTCGATATTCTGTGTGTGTGTGTGCACGTGTGTGCACATGTGTGTGTATGTGTGTGTTCGTGTGTGTGTGTGTGTGTGTGTTCATGTGTGTGTTCATGTGTGTGTGTGTGTGCGTGCGTGCGTGCGTGTGTGTGCATACGTGTGTCTGTGGGAGTGTATGTGTATATGCCGGTAGACAAAATGCGTCACAGTTCTAGGCCTCTTTATCAGATGGCCCGTATGCTTCTCTTTGCATGGCCGGTGCGGTGAAGTGCTATGGTTTCTCTTCTCTTATTGTCTCTCTATCTCCCTGACTCTGTCTGTCCGTTTGTTTGTCTGTCTGTCTGTCTGTATTCATTGTTGCATTCCGCAGGATGAGGAGAATGGTGAAGAGCCTGTCTCACACATTGCACTGAAGAATGCACAGGCATTACCTGCACTGGACTTCTCTAAGAAACGGTATGTGGCCAAACAGTTCTTACTCAGTTGTTACATTAGCTGTTGCTACTGCCACCACCACTACTGCTGTTGCTACTGCCACCGCCGCCGCTACTGCTGCCAAAGCCGCTGTTGCTGCTGCCACCACCGCTTCATCAGCTGCTGCTGCAGCTACGAGTACAACTACTACCACAGCTGCTGTTTCTGTTTTTTTAATGTTGCGTTTGCTAATTCTACTTCTACTGTTGTTGGCAGTGTAGTGCAATTGCTGCTGCCACCACTGCTGCAGCTGCTGCCACCACTGCTGCAGCTGCTGCCACCACTGCTGCAGCTGCTGCCACCACTGCTGCAGCTGCTGCCACCACTGCTGCAGCTGCTGCCACCACTGCAGCAGCTGCTGCCACCACTGCTGCAGCTGCCGCCACCACTGCTGCAGCTGCCGCCACCACTGCTGCAGCTGCTGCCACCACTGCTGCAGCTGCTGCCACCACTGCTGCAGCTGCTGCCACCACTGCTGCAGCTGCTGCCACCACTGCTGTAGCTGCTGCCACCACTGCTGCAGCTGCTGCCACCACTGCTGCAGCTGCTGTCACCACTGCTGCAGCTGCTGCCACCACTGCTGCAGCTGCTGCCACCACTGCTGCAGCTGCTGCCACCACTGCTGCAGCTACTGTCACCACTGCTGCAGCTGCTGCTAATGAGCATGTGGCTACTTGCTGCCGCAGTGGTGACTGTTGTTCCTCAATTTATGGTAGGACTATTTCACCCATGGCCCGTTTCCTTTCTCTACTTGCGTTGTGTATGTTTGTCACAGTGATGTCATACGCATCATTAGTCCCAAGGACAGCACGTATCTTCTGCACGTCAGTAGCAAGGTAAGTAAGACAGTAGTGCACAGTTGCTCTAGCAACCTTTATCTGAACAGCCTAGAATGTCAGACTTTCAAGGCACTATTAGCGCTAGCTTAGACAAGCTCAATGACTCTTCCGAAATTCTAAGTTGTGATCTCGCTGGTGTTCTTGGAAGTGCTGTTGTTTGTGTTTGGGGTAATTTTTATCTTAGCCTTGTGGGAACGATTGATATTGTTGTTTAGGAACACCCAGTGATTGTGTGGCGCGTGGGCATAGCCACATCTGTGCATGCAGTGGAAGCTTGCGTGCTCTGCTGTGATGTGATGTGATGCGTGCTGCACTGTGCGCTGCTGTGTGTTGTGCTGTGCTAGGCTGGGCTGTGCTATGCTGTGCTACGCTGGGCTGTTGGTTGATAACTGCTTGGCCATGTGTATCACTGTCCGTCCCTCCATCTGTGTGTCTGTCTCTCGTTTGATTTCCTTGTACTGTACTCCGGTTTGCACTCACTGTTCGCACAGGGTGATGTGTTGAAGTGGCTGGAAGCGTTCAACTCTGCACAGACAGCCGAGCCATCAGCCCTGCTGGACAAGTTTGGTGATGGGGAAGTTGTACAGAGTGGATACCTGTCTGCTACCAAGTGAGTTCAATGTCACTGTGATTCACACCTGTAGTACATGCTTGCCCACTGTTGTCCAGGGTTGTCCACTGTTGTCCGGGGTTGTCCACTGTTGTGCAGGGTTGTCCAATGTTGTGCAGGGTTGTCCACTGTTGTCCAGGGTTGTCCACTGTTGTCCAGGGTTGTCCACTGTTGTCCAATGTTGTGCAGGGTTGTGCAGGGTTGTCCACTGTTGTCCAGGGTTGTCCACTGTTGTGCAGGGTTGTGCTGACTATAGTGGAACTCCCTACCCAGACACGTTGAGACCGGACACTGCCTGTAATTAGCCATTGCCACAACATAAACATGCACAAGATGAAATTTGCATTTTAACACAAAAGAAAATTCCGACCTGAAAGCGCACAATTTATTTTCTAACAAAAAAATTGGTAGTAGGGGAAACATTCCCTTGTCCACAAGCATTCGTGTCTTTTTTTTTAAAGAAGGTTCCGTAATTTCAGCAGTTGCTAATCAAAGTTGCTAATCAAAGCTTTGTATGCCTCTGTGCGTGCTTGTGTGTGTGTGTGTGTCTGTGTGCGCGTGCGTGTGCATGTTTGTCATTCATCAGATCATCTCTACCGGCATCAGACGCGGAGGTACCGGTGGAGGTCGGTCGTCAGTGGTTCGTCCTGAAAGGCCGTCAGCTGATCTATTTCCTGCGAGGCAACCGCGTGGAAGCGCTGGACTTTGCCAGCTGCACGGGTGTATCGGTGATGAATCCCACGGCCAACCCAGCCATTGCTGCATGCGCAGGTAAGGGAGAAGTGAGACGGTAATTCTAGATCAGGGTGTGTTAGCTTTGCCTCCTTCGCTTCTAGATGACGGTCACTTATTCGTAGCGTTAGATGCCGGCATTTTTGCATCAAACACAGCCCTACCTATGAATTCTGAAGGGTAAGAAGCCGGAAAGATCAGGGACAATTAATGGTAGGGTCCAAGCAAGGTGGCTGTGACAGTGCGGCAAATCAAGCTCAGTCTACAACCCGTATCGGCGTTCGTTTTGCGCTGGCTGGTTTTCTCCGGTATTGGTAGTTGGTCCAAGGTCAACGTGACTGACTCTGCTAGTCACATGACATGGTGATACTGGGCTGCACATGTACTGGATGTGGTAGTCACATGACATGGTGATACTGGGCTGCACATGTACTGGATGTGGTAGTCCCATGACATGGTGATACTGGGCTGTACATGTACTGGATGTGGTAGTCACATGACATGGTGATACTGGGCTGCACATGTACTGGATGTGGTAGTCACATGACATGGTGATACTGGGCTGTACATGTACTGGATGTGTTTCTTACCATCTTATTCTCCAATGAGAGTTGGCCATGATAATGGCATCCGCTGGCGATATGAAATGCTTGTGGCACTGATCCTAGACTAGGGTGTGTTTGCTCCGACTCCTCCACACTCGTCGAGTATTGATTACCAGTAATGCAGTACATGTACGTGATAAACAAAAATTGCTTACAGTGCTGTGCTGGTTGAGGTGGGGTGGCTGGCAACGATAGTCCAAGTCAGGGTGCAGTATTGTTTGCCCCTTCTAGTATCAATTGGAAATATTGACTTGCCTGTTTGTCCTTTCTGTTGCAGTGTTTTTCGATGCCGGGTACCCCTTTGGTTTTGTTTCCATGGTTCTCTGTGTGTGTATGTGCGCATGTGTGTGCATGCATGCGTGCGTGTGTACGCATCTGTGCATGGGTGCATCCAAAACCTGTCGTCTCGCAGGTGGAACGCCGAAAGCCCTGAGTCGCCTGGAGGCCGAGCAGCAGAGCGAGGAAAAGCTACTGCTCTACGCTATACGCGTGGACAGTGCCACAACACGCTACGTGCTACAACCGGACACGCCGGGTGATCTGGACGCCTGGGTGGAAGCTCTGGACAAGCTGCTTCTACGCATCGGCAAGAGTAATCTAATGGTTCCGGTTGTGGATTTTGGCAGTGGAGCTAGCGGTGGAGACAGTGACTCTGGTGTGTTTGGTATGACCACGGACATTCACCGTCTGTCCGAGGTCAGAGAGGAAGACGATGCCGATGTAAAGGAGGACGGTGCTACCGGTACGGATGATCCCACTGCTGCAGGTAATCGCCACGGTTCAGCCAACACATTGACAGTTGCCGGTGGTGGTTTGGGTTTGGGAGCCACACGGCTGAGCATTCGTCAGAAGCAACAGAAGGGCTTCACGGCAATGGCCAGGCTAAACAATCGCGTGGCAGACGAGACGGTGCACTATCTGGACGCGGCCATGGACAACGTGTCACCACTACAACCATCACCTATGTCCTACGATATCTCTAAGTCCGGCGCCGATGAGAAAGCAGCGTGTTTACGGGACGCACCTCAAGTGGAGCTACCCGGCAATGCTCTCAGACCAGGCGTGTCGCCAAAGCCAGGTGCGTCACCGCAGATTCCACCGAAACCAAAGCTGTCACCGCGACCGTCCCCCGTACCATCACGCCACCCTGCTGCGCTGGTGCTCACCCCAGATGCAGCGGCACTGCCGATGCCCAGCGATCGACTCTCGCCACTGCCACACAAACCAACACCAGCATCTCCCATGTCAAGCACCGCCGGCCCAGGCACTGCCACAGGACCATCGCTGGCTCAAGCCGCGCCGGGCAAAGTGGAACGTGAAGACAGCGATGGTATGTACATTGTGCCCAACAACCCAAAGCGACCACTCATTGCTGAGTCCGATAGCCTGGACGATCCAACATACGAGGTGACTCAGGCAACGCCTATCAAGGATCCAGTATTGGAATCGCTAGCCGAGGACATCAATGAGAGGGCCTCGCCCAAGCTGCCGCCGAGACCAACTAAAACATTAGACCGGAGCATCTCGCCCGTACCGCGTAGTCCCAGTCCTCACTCGCCTAAACTCCCGCCTCGTCCAACCGACCAGGGTGCTCAGGCAGCTGGCATTCAACCATTGGAAACGATCCAAGCCGAGGACAAGTATCCGGATGAGAATCCGTACGAAGTCGGTGGTCAGACTCCCTCTGATTCTAAGGATCTGCTCAGTTCAAGCGGATACCTGAAGGCGGTGATTGCAGAGGAGCCGCTAGCAGAGGATGATGAGCTCTACGCTGATGCTGATGACATGGCCAGGCGACGCGTGGAGCCATTCCGACCTGTCGCAACAGCACCGGCTGGAAGTAACTCAACGACTGCCCGACGCTCGCCGCAGCCACAAACATCTGAAATGGCGCTGCCGCCTGTTGGATACGTGGTGAGCGATAAGTCGTTCAAATCCACAGCCACCGCATCACCAGCCAAAGGCCATATTGCCAAGGCATTCTCCAATCTTCCCAGCGTTCCACCGCCGAGTGGAAGTCCCAACATGCGACGTCCATCTCTGGCCGCCAGTCCCAACGTCCGACGTCCATCTCCGGCCGCCAGTCCCAACGTCCGACGTCCATCTCCGGCCGCCAGTCCCAACGTCCGACGTCCATCTCCGGCCGCCAGTCCCAACCTGAAACAGAAGCCACCGCCACCATTAACACTACCGCCACCGCAAGATGAATACGACGACTCTGCATTGTACCTGGCACCAGCGGACGTACAGGAACAGCCGAAGCGTGTTCAGCCACCGCCACCGCCTTTCCCACCACCGCCCGACCTGCCGGCAGAGGACGATGGTGACCTCATGGCCGATGCTGATAATGTTCTCGCCGCTGTCGAGCTGCGGAGACCCTCCGAGCATATCTACGATTGTGGTGAGATGGAGGAGCTGCAACGACGTGCTGCTGAAGTTGCTGCTGCGGCTGCCGCCGGCGACATCTACACAATGCCAGAGGGACAGGAGAATACCGTGGCGGCGACGCAAGAGGAACTCTACGAAAACCTGGCAGTTCGTCAGCAGCAGCAGCAGCCGCAGGCACCGTTGCCGGGTATAAGTGAGCATAGTGAAGACCATGCCGGACCGAAGAGCCCAGCGGGTCTAGCAGCAGCACAGCAGCAACATGATACAATGGCGGCCATGAGCTCTGGCCATGCTCAGGAGGAGGATATCTACGAGGCTGCCGCTGACATCCTAGCCCCTGACGACGCACCACCGCTACCGCCGGATGATGATGACTTGCCTCCACCTCCACTTCCTCCTGATTGTTCAGAGTCCGAGCTACCCGGGGTCCCTAGCTCTCGATTACTCCCCCTAGGTCAGCTACAAGTGCAGACTGGGAAGCTATCACCTATGTCGCTCGATGTTAACCCACTCTATGGCAACGCAGACACTTCTACTGCACAAGATGTGCCGGAAAGCGACGAGAAACCACCGCCGCTACCACCGCAACAACAGCAGCCGCAAAAGCAGCAGCTAGCGGTGCAGAGTGCTCCGACATCAGGACGTACCAGTCCTGTGCCACCGCCTAAGCCAGCCAAGAAGAAGAAGTCCAACCCGGACAGTCAGCCACCGCCCATACCCGTCAAGCAAACACCTCCAACCCAGCGACACAGCTCGGCCACCACCACCGCCGGCGCTGTGCAGGCGCAGCATGCACGCGATCGCCTCTCCACGGGATCTCTGCCGCGACACAGTGGAAACTGGTCGCAGGCCAACAGCTCGCGCAATTCTCTCACGGACGTACACGTACACATGGCTGCCGGTTCACCGAGCGGCAGTCCTCTGCCGCCGCGTCTCCCTCCAAAGGGCCCCGGTCAGACCCCGTCACCCACCACAAACACGTCGGCTTTCCACCCCATGCAACAACCGCTGCCACAGCAGCAGCAAGCACAGTTTCATACATTGGTGGGTGGTGGCGCAGGCAATGGAATTGCCGGCGGTCTCCCTCCGCAGCAGCGGTCCGCGTTCCAAGCGGCTCACGGCCAGCCCCAGCCCGTCTTCCTGGTGCGTCCCCAGCACGGGACCATGAGCCCGGTTGCGGGGGCAGCCCCGATGGGTACCATCCCGGGCCATCTGGTCGGGGTGCAACGTCCCATACTGGTGCAGAGCGGCAGCAGCCACGCCCTGTTTGTACATCAGCGCGGTCACCCTAGCAACCAGAGCGGTGGCGGCGGCAGCATGGATGGCGGCAGTAAAGACTGCGACGACGAGTACACCCCCATGAATCTAAATCGTCAGCCGTCCAATCCGTCTGGTGACGATGAGATCTGTGAGGATGACTACACGCCAATGCAGCCACCGTCACACAACCCCGCTGCACGACAGGCACAACAAGCACAACAGCAGGGGACTGCTCTACAGCATCAGCAGGCCGCAAGAGAACGACAGCAGCAGGCCATGGCGCTGCGGCAAGAGCTGCAGATGGAGTCGTCGCAGATGAACGTGCGCGGCGCCCGCACTGGGGGCCTCAGCAAACACCCGTCGGCACTGAGCATGCAGCCAACCGCCGCGGGCGTTGCCATGGTACCGGTGAGCACGGCCACGGGAATGCGGCAGGTTGCCGTAGCAACGGGGGCCGGTGGGGTGCCGCACCAGCAGTTTGCCATGTACCGACAGCATAGCGTGGATACCATGGACCCCGCCCGGCATGCTGGACTAGCGCGACAGTCGTCCATTCCACACGGGGCCATGGCCAACCAATTCCAACCAGTGTCTGGCGGTAGTGTCATGATATCGCCGCAACAAGCATACCAACTCCAACAGCAACAACAGCAACAGCAACTCTTGCAGCAACAGCAGCAGGCGATGCAAGCCATGCACAGACCTGCTCTTGGTGAGTATAGATACACACACACACGCGTGCGCGCGCACACACACACACACACATACATTTAAGTTGATTTAACCCCTGCATAATAATGCGGGTCATATGATGTCGGCCATGATGGATACACTGTCCACACTTTCGAAACAAATGCAGTCACGTGACGAAGATGTGAAGACCACTCATTTTACTGCGTGTGTTTATATGTGTGTGTGTGTGCGTGTCTGGATGCGTGTGTGTGTCTGCATGTGTGTGTGTGTGTGCACGTGCGCGTGTGTGTGTGTGTGTGTGTGCGCGTGTGTACGTGTGTGCGTGTGTACGTGTGTACGTGTGTGTGTGTGTGTGTGTGTGTGTGTGTGTGTGCTCTCTGCGTGTCTGTCTGTATAGCGGGTGATCAGTCACCTCAGTTCACGTCACCGTCCGGTACCCTACGTCACGGCAGCATCTCAAGCGGCTCTGCTGCTGGCAAGTTTCTCAAACGGCAAATGTCTGGCGAGGACCTGGTCGGCACAGGCATAGCCATGCGGAGACTCAGTGAGGTACAGTCGCACAGCGTTACTCCACAGCAGCAGCAGCAGCAGCAGCAGCAGCAGCAGCAACACCAGTTGTCGGATGGCACATTGGTGAGTCAAGCTGATACAATTAGTATTAGAGTAGCGACAAGCTAGCCTTGTTGTTCTATGTATTAAAATGGGGGCAAGGCTGATGATGTCTCTGGCTGAAAAAATTGATTGCAGTTGTACAGGTGTGTGGTTGCGATGGTGTACTCGTAGGGTTTTCCATGTTATGAAGTCGCTGCAGTGGAGCTTGCGCACCTTAAAAAAATCTCACGAATATCATCAAATCTGCCCCCCCCCCCAAATTATTTGATTGATTTGCAGTTTGCTAAGGTTCATGTGCCACTGAAATTTGGGGATTTAGAGTTTACCTGTCTGTCCATCTGTGCACATACACGTGTGTGTGTGCGTGCGTGCGTGCGTGCGTGCGTGTGTGTGTGTGTGTGTGTTACTCCAGCTACCCGTCGGCTGGCAGGCGCACGTGTCAGCGGAAGGTCGTCCGTATTACTACAACCGCAGTCTGGGTAGCACCACATGGTCACTGGATGACGTGTTCCGCTCAGCATCAGCATCAGCAGGGTCAGCAAGTAGCACAGCATCATCATCTACTGAAAGTGCTCCCGACACAACTAGTACCGCTGCAGGTGGACAGGCCATGCCAGAATCACCCACACGGGTATGTACTGAAGCAAACTACATGATTGTACATGTGTCACGTATTACCAGGCAGTTCATCGCATCCCCTGATTTCCCCCTGCCATGCAATCTAATCAAACTAGGTTATCGTGTTTGTTGGTGCTGCTGCTGCTGGTGGTGGTGGTGCTGCTGCTGCTGCTGGTGCTGGTGCTGCTGCTGCTGGTGCTGCTGCTGGTGGTGGTGGTGGTGCTGCTGCTGCTGGTGGTGCTGCTGGTGCTGCTGCTGGTGGTGCTGGTGCTGCTGCTGGTGGTGCTGGTGCTGCTGCTGCTGCTGGTGCTGCTGCTGGTGCTGCTGCTGGTGCTGCTGCTGGTGGTGCTGCTGCTACTAAAATACAAATATTGTTGTTGCTGCTGGCGTTGTCACTGGTATTCGAGGTGGCTTTCCTATAGCTGCTGCTGCTGCTGGTGCTTTTATTGCCCAGGGATGAGTTTACTGTCATGTTTTTGCAAAGCAGTTTTTGCTATGCAAAATCCCATTTGTGGCGTACGGTAAGGCCGCAACCACACTACGTAAAAATCACAGTACAAATTTTCATGCATATCTCAGTACAAGTCGGTACGCAACCACACTACACTTTTCGGTCTGCATAGATGACGTTTTCACGCGTGACAGCACGTGACGTTGTCGTACCAAAGAGTGTGCCATGCGCTGGAAAAGACCGGGAAATTCAAAAACAATGCTGATGCTGATGCTATGTACGACGACCAGGTACAAAAACAAAGTTGTACACAGGAGATGGAGCGCGAAAACGACGAAAACGACAAACGTGGCTTTCTACAGGGGTGCGCCAGTTGCTGAAAACCTACAAAGCGCATTTTGCATTTCGCACGCGTCGGCATGACGATTTCTACTGTAATGCAGTTTGTACGTGATTTTGTACCTAGTGTGGTTGCAGCCTAAGGTACGAAAAGCATGGATAGCCAGTACATGATAGCCAGTACATGTATGTACATGTATGTACATATACATACATGTACATACATGTATGTATGGCAGTTTTCTGCGTGTCACTGTGATTTTTGAGTAGCAGTAGATTGATTTTGAGTATACAACTGCAATACCGGATAAATTCATCCCTGCTGCCACTACTGTCATCGTCGCTGTTTTTTGTTTCTCTTTGGCTGCAAACAGGAGCCAGGTGCAGGCTGGAAGGCCACAAAGAACACACAGGGACGCACCTACTACTACAATCGAGAGACACGCCAGACAACATGGAAGATCGAGGACACATTCGCTGGTGGACAGTAGGAGCAGAAACATGTGCACACAGCAACAGCTTCATTACCACTGCCACCAGCACCACCAGTAGCACCAGGAGCTCGGATACACACCAGCAACAGCAGTCCCGGGCTGAAACAGCTACAGTAGGTGTGACCTCTCCCACCAACCCACCTATCCCATACAGCCCACGGAACCCACACAGGTATTGCTAACCCACATCCCCACCACATGTCTAACCTATTTATACTGTTCCACATGCTGCTTTGCTACTGACAAAATTTGTCTGATGCATTCTTAGGCCTCTCCGTGCAGAGGAGTTTGCAATTCTTTTTGTGCATTCCTGAACTGCTACTCATGCCTTCATTCTTGCTTCTCACCCACCCTGCATGTAGTCTAGTAGTAGGCAAGCATACTCCTCCACTCACTAGTGATAGATCTTGACAGGGCTGGTACCTGCATTTTGAGAATCCTAGTGACAAGCAAGGTAGTAGTAGTAGTAAATTTACTAGGCATTATCGCACCTGAAATCTGCACTAGGGTGCTTTTGATGTCCATTTCACACCTCCGGGTGACCTTTGACCTCTACTTCACACGTCTGGGTGACCTTTGACCTCTTTTCACGTGTCTGGGTGACCTTTGACCTCTATTTCACGTTTTGGAGTGACCTTTGACCTCTATTTCACATTAGGTGTGAGACCTTTGACCTCTCTATGTGACACGTCCGGGTGACCTTTGACCTTCTTCACACCTCGGTGTGGCATTTGACGTCATTTCGCACCTCAGTTTTCTTTTCCTCTCTTTTTCATACCACTGGGTGTTGAGATGTTCACACCTTTCTAACCAGTGAATTCACGCTTTTTTTTCACGCTGAATGTAACCCAGCGATTTCACCCACCATTTTCAATTCACACCTTCAACTATATAATAGGATTTTGATGTCATACGTATTGAATTTCATGGACTATTCATATACATTTGCAAAGATTCTTGATGAAAATTTCAAGTTTTGAAACTGAAAACCCTATAATGCAAATTTTCACTGCCTAAAAATCAGTAAAATTGTTTGTCAAGTTTTAAATTTTACTTATGCCCAGGCTTTTTTCTTATAATTTGCAGCATATTTTTAATATACTTGTACCCCTAATTATCATTATTATGATGTTCAAATTGCCAAAGCTAAAATGAGCAGTCCAAGAAAGGTTTGACAAACTACCAGGAAGTTTGTACAGTATTCATGTGTTTGCTTTTTCATGCAAAGTTTTCTTTTCTGGCAATGCATACAGAATGAGTATTATTATTATCAACACTCAAGAAAAGATTCTTATGGAGTGGTCTGTGGTTGATATGAGCATGGAGTTTGCAGGTAACTAAGGCTAGTTGTCTGAAGTTTAGGCCGGTTTCTTGCATTCAAGCTGGTTTCTAGAGTTTGGGCTGGTTTCTTGCATTCAGGCTGGTTTCTTGAATTCAGGCCAGTTTCTAGAGTTTGGGCTGGTTTCTTGCGTTCAGGCTGGTTTCTTGCGTTCAGGCTGGTTTCTTGCGTTCAGGCTGGTTTCTTGAATAAAGACAGGTGGGTCAACTTGTGAACTTGGCCTGGTTTTTGGAACAATCTGCTGGGTTTGGTGAATTTAAGGGTCAGTTTGTGGAATCCTGACCGGTTTCTTGAATGAGAACAGGTGTTGATGTATTCGCGGGTGTCTGATTTCCTCCGCGACGACTGGATTCCTGAGCAAAATGCCTGCTGGCGGTGGCTAGTCCTTTCTGCTCCTCAGCCTCAGCAACACGCATTGCTAAATCATCTGCAATGAAAGGACGAGGCCAAACAAGAACATGGCATAAGAGAAGTACAGGATTGTGTGCGTGTGTGGGTGCGTGCATGTGTATGGGTGCGTGCGTGCGCGCGTGTTTGTGTGTGTGCGTGTGCGTGTGTGACTGTGTGTAGTGTACTAATACCGAGGAGTCACAGGTTTGTGTCACGGTGCGTGATGTGTTCTAATGCTTAGATTTCCGTCCTACAATATCTGACAAGCTGGTTGCCAGGGGGGGGGGGGGGGCAGACGGGAAGCCATGACCCCATACAGTTCTGTCGGGTTCCGAACAAAAACATGCTAGACTTTTACCATGCCTAGGATACCCGCTATGTACATGGAGACTGACTGAGCAGTATAGACACAGTTCTACACGAATAAATAACAACGGACTAGGCTACTAGGACGCTAAACCCCAGTTCTTCAGCCTGTCTAGACAGTACTGTACGTATAGCTGTACGACAACACTAGCTTGCACTAGCATGGGAGGGAACACGATAAGATTTCGAAATTGCTCTGACACAATGTCCTGCCACTTCTGGAAACGGTCGGACATGGCCGGACACTGTGATTTGGCAGATTTTGCGATACAAGTACACGGTGCTGGCAACTGAAATCCGACCCCCTGGGCGGTGCGCTCACATCGCAAAGACCCAACACGGGATGGTAAAATTACGAAACAGAGACCGCTAGAATGTGAACCCACCGCCCAGGGGATCGGAGTTGAGTTGCCAGCACTGTACATGTCTGGGACTCTTATTTTTTCACCACTTTCATGCACGTACACGACCACATTACACATGTACATGCTACCAAGAGTACATAGGTAGTACAGTGCGGTGCTACAAGTCACATCACACAGATCTCAAGTAGATGCAACACTGATTCAAATCTCTGTGCATTGTGCAGCAAACACAGTACTAGTAACTCGGACTGTGTGACTAGTCGACTGTGAGCATGCAGACTTGCAGTGTTTCTGCACACATCGGATTTGAGATGGTTTTTCTGCGACAACGTGATTTTTATGAAGTCAGCAAAAGACAAAGTGGGCATCTGCTTGCCCGTTCTTGTTGCCAGCTCCAAGATCGGCACCATGTCACTACGAGTACTCGTGTTGGCTGAAGACTCCCATCTTTGCAAACGTGATGTGCTCTTTGCACAGCAGGTAGATTCTACGCGACGTTGAATTTATGACTAACTTTCGCTGCTGCTGCTTCATCGGTCTTGCACAGCGCCTGTGCGACAGGAGCGTACTTGACTGGGTTGCCAGAAGACTGCTCCTTTCGATAGAGGCATATCGCAAGCTCGCACATTTCGGACGCCTCGTTTCCCCTGGAACACGGACGTTTTCAATTTTTCGGATCGTACAAGCGCGTCGCGGAATAGTTCATAGCTTCACTAGGAAGCGAGAATTTTTTATTTCAAAAGAATCAAAACTCCTTCTTGATCGTTTGCTACGCTCAAACTGGAGCTACGCTGAAGTGGACAGCTCCCTGTCATGCTGCAAAATCCTCTTGTCACAGGTTGCTGCTCAAACTTCTTGAGACTTCTTCCCAGGCAGAGCGCCACTATCCTCAGTCGTTCTCTTTCCCAGCGACGTTATTCAATTATTTCGGTCGGACAGATTGTCCGTTCAAGTAAAAAAGCGCCAAATTTGAATCGAAAATGGTCGGAAAATGTCCGATGTCCGACCGTTATCGTGTTCCCTGCATGGAATGTCTAAGTGCAAAGCTAGCCGTGTTTCTCGCGCTCAGAGCACTCTTAAGTGAACAAATGTTCGACGCATATTTATTTTCAGCTATTTTCGGCCAGGTCATGTTTGACCGAAAATTTGTTTTGCAAGGTTCAGTGTGATAGAGGCCGAAAATTTGATGCGGCCGAAATGTGTGTTAGCCCTGGGAGGCCGAAATTTGAATGGGTGGAAAATTTGTACACTTACAGTACGTGCCCGGAGATGGAGTATAGGACATTGTAGGACCGCACTTGACAAAGCCCTAAGATGCCTACGTACAGACAGACAAAAGAGGAAGCCCGGTGGAGCTACTAATGGATTTTCCGGAGTATAAGCTGCACCCTCATTTTTTTTTGCCACGAAATACAGACATCTACCCTATTTACCACCATTAATTCGTCCATCGTAGTCTAAGGCGCAGCTTAGACGTTTTTGCAGGTGAATTACAGGTTTGTTTTAAACATAATTCCCGGTTCGCGTGAGACTCGGGAAGAAGCCGAGTTTTCCGCATCCGCCGTGGGAACGCCACCACCCTGAAGGATCAAGGCGCAGATGATGGTTGTTTTAAGTGCGGCTTATACTCCGTAAACCGCGGCACTTCCTAAGTTTCCCACTAACCTGCCTGTGCTTGTACACTGTCTGAGAGCAAGCGCCAGTCACGATACGATGACTTGGCCCACACTAGGCTGAAGTAGAGCTTGTCAGGAATACGACGTAACCGATCATAACGCGACTTGAGATCTGGAAAGACGACGGCGGAGTGGGCAGACAGACAACACGGAATACGACAAAGACACAAAAGCGGATGCACCCGGTGTACTGGCAGTGCCTGGATGCCGCAACGGCAGAGCACAATTGCCTGAGCATGAAGCTCAGACTTTTTTTCTTTCTTTTTTTCACTAAAGACACAACCTACTCGTACTTAGAGGGGAGAGAAGCAGCAGGACAACACAATGGGAAGAGTAGGGGCTCCAAGAAAGAACCTGTGCCGGTGGACGTCGGTTCTCCGAGCTGCGTCGATGCAAATGAGTGATGCAACAGCTGGTCACAGGTACCGGTACATGTGTATTTGAAATAAGACATATCTACATACAGCTATAGAAAAGCATGCAGTCGGCGTGCCAATCACCCGTCTTTAAAGATAAGGCGTGTATAAAAAGCTGGACGGACTATACTCCCTGCTGCTCACATGATGCTCAACACCCGAGGTTGTAAACAGTGCTCAATACCCAGGTTTGTACGACTCCCAGCTCTTCACACAGTGCTCAATACGCCGGGCTTTCCATATCCTCTTTGCAGCTAACAAATCGTCCTTATTTCAGTGTTACATAGACCATATGAAGACAGTTGGGATTATGTTACACTTGGAATAAAGCCATCCTCTTATCGCCCTTACCTTTACTGCGGGTATCATCAGACTTTGGACATTTGCGCCAGTCAGCCTTGGCTGTGTCACGCTCCACGAGCAATGCATTGTACAAGTGTGCCAGAGCGTAGAGCGGTGCTGAGATGACGTCGAGTTCCGCCACTGGCCGTTTGGCCGCCGTAAGGATACACAGCACGTCGTGTGCAACAGTGGAGCAGAAACCTAGTGATAGTGACAGTCTACACGACTGTGAGGGACACACGCAACCAGGCAGGCACACACACACACACACACACACACACACACACACACACACACACACTCACACACACACACACACACACACACACACAGATACACACACAGATACACACACGTACAATCAAATTTGTCTTCCGCTTTCACCAGGAACTGGGCAGAAGCCCAGAAGGAGTCCAGGAAAGATGCTCCAATTGCCTACTGGACCGCTGCACCAAACCCGTACTCCTACAACTCTACAAGTACGGATAGAGCTTGAGAAACCTGCCTGAATTCAAGAAACCGGCCTGAACTCGAGAAACCGGCCTGAATTCAAGAAACCAGCCTGAACTCGAGAAACCGGCCTGAATTCAAGAAACCAGCCTGAACTCGAGAAACCAGCCTGAACTCGAGAAACCAGCCTGAACTCGAGAAACCGGCCTGAAATACAAAACAATGGTAGGCCCTCATCATATCATAGTAAACAGACAAGGGTAAGGCTGCTGGCACACAGAGTCAGGGTACTCGAATTTCAGAAATTCTAGGCATGAGGGCAAAAGGCCAGGTTGGTTGAACAGAAATTTTAGGTCCAGAGAAGCAATTCCATACTGGATTACCAGTGTACTAGTATTATGTGTTAGTGTTTGTTCGGTTACTGAATTGTTTGGTATGAAACAGATGTATCGAAAGTACTGAAAACAGAATTTTTTTGGTGAATTACAGATCTACATAGTTTAGACTCGGGTGGAGAACCAAGGATTAGTAATTATTTCTAAGAAGAAAGAGAAGAGAAGGACCAAGGAACTACAAGTTACGCTATAATATCCACTAACACCACGAGTTACTTTACAATCAGCTCATGCGATAACATTGCACGACACTGACCAACGGTACTGACGCTCTACGCTTAACTGTAAATCAGCTCTTGCACGTCTTAGATGCGCACTCCAACAGCCTTCCAGCTTAGAAGGTTCTATTAAGTTATAGAAATAACACAAGGATGGGGAAGGTGAGCGCAACCAAGACACGCCCTCCTCATGTTACTTCTATAACTTAGAACCTTCCAAGCTGGAAGGCTGTTGGAGCGCGCTAGAGCTGATTGCCAGTTAAGCGTAGAGCGTCAGTACCGTTGGTCAGTGTCGTGCAATGTTATCGCATGAGCTGATTGTAAAGTAACTGGTGGTGTTAGTGGATATTATAGCGCAACTTGTAGCTCTTTGGTCCTCTTTCTTCTTCGAAATTACAGATCTGTTGAACGCTCCAACTGCAAGTACGCTTATCCTAGGGAAATCTAAAGCTTGTTATTATACACGAGAGACGTTCGCTTACCTGAGTACACGTGGAGATAGCGTTGACAATGGCATCCTCCACCGTGTCGAACACAGCATTCCTAGAGAGGACGGAACATACTTCCAATACACACTGTTTTCAACACACGCACACACACACACACACACACACACACACACAACACGCACAAACAGACACACACGTACACGCGCACACACAAACATAAACCCACACACACACGACACCAACAACTAGGCATGTAAACACACATACCATCATACAAATAATATAATATATTATAATATTATTATAAATTTATACAAAAGAGAAAGACCAAGGAACTACAAGTTACGCTATACTGTCCACTAACACCACTAGTTACTAAACGAGTGCGCATCCAAGATGTGCTAGAGCTGTTAGCCAGTTAGTTGTAGAACGTCAGTACCGTCGGTCAGTGTCGTGCAATCTTATCGCATGAGCTGATCGTTTAGTAACTGGTGGTGTTAGTGGACAGTATAGCGTAACTTGTAGTTCCTTGGTCTTTCTCTTTTGTATAAATTAAACATTGGCTCTCCATCTGAGTACAAATATAAATGTACCGATAATTATGATCCTCCAGTTGTCCCATATGAAAGGTGGGTGTTTCCTGTTTCGTTACTCCCATCATACATACAACAGATTAAACAATTGGATGGCTTGATAGAAAATACCCAATTCGGGGAGGAATTTGCATGCATTATACCCCAGATATATCAAAATTGCACGAACTTTCCTCTAAATGTGGGGTGCACATCATGTGGGGTAAATGTGGGGTGCACATCGTGTGGGTGTCTGTGTGTGGAGAGAGAGAGAGAGAGAGAGAGAGAGAGAGAGAGAGAGAGAGAGAGAGAGAGAGAGAGAGAGAGAGAGAGAGAGAGAGAGAGAGAGAGAGAGAGAGAGAGAGAGAGAGAGAGAGAGAGAGAGAGAGAGAGAGAGAGAGAGAGAGAGAGAGAGAGAGAGAGAGAGAGAGAGAGAGAGAGAGAGAGAGAGAGAGAGAGAGAGAGAGAGAGAGAGAGAGAGAGAGAGAGAGAGAGATAAAGAGAGAGATAAAGAGAGAGAGATAAAGAGATAGAGAGAGAGAGGGAGAGAGAAATACAGAGAGAGGGGGGGGGGCAGTACACTCACGTCAACGTCAAGATCACCATTGTAGAGGCGCAGTGAACAGCAGTACGCCATACTGAGCAGCAACAGCAGCAGCAACGTGTACACTAGTCAAGGAAGACTATACACCTGTTGACATGCTTACTTGCAGGATTACCTAGGGTTATTTATTTCCACAGAAGTCAAAGAAAAGGATTACAATTCACTCCAGAAGCAAAGACAACATTGCACAAGTAAAAGGAAACTTCCTCTCTCTAAAAATCAACTCCCTCTATCTCAGTGCGCATGCTGATAGACTCAAGAAAAAAAAACAGAAAACAGAACAAGTACATTGGTAATAAACAGATGAAACAGGCAAAAATATTCCCACTCGAACGCTCACACTTCCCCCGAAATCGAACCTGCGTGCCCTGCTTCAAAGGGATTTGTGTGGAGAATTTCACCGGGTGCGCCATTTCATTCTCGTATACACTCGGACCAAGATGAAACTCTAGGATGTGTGCTCCTGCGGAAGCTGAACCGAACGATCTTGGTCCAAGCAGGCATGCGATGCAGCATCCAGCCCTACTTCCAATCAAACACAGTCACACAGTGATGCGTACACCAGCCACCGTGCCATGCCCACCTACCAGTGCAGTGCACCGTGTGCTAGTACATGTAGTAGTAGCTGTGAAATACTCGAGTGCAGTAACACAGCATGCTGCGTACGTCGCGAGTATGCCTAGCCAAATGGTACGACTCCACAAAGTGAAGAGCTCACCATGTACATGTACTGCATACACACAATGGACTCGTTCAATGTACAGTACTGCTCATTGAAGTCCAATCGCGAAACTCAAGTACACGTCGGGCGTTGCGCAGCCCTAGACCTGCAAACACTGGGCTGAGAAACGGTACAAGGCGCAAACTTAACTATCATATCATGATCGGATATCATTGAGCAGCGCGGTACATCATCCTGTGTCTGCAATGCAAGGTCTTGGTCTTCTGCACAGTGCAGAGTTCAGTATGCATTGGGCATAGCCAGAGCTACAGACACTCACTGACTGTGAGCAGTGAGTGAGAAATCCACCTGTACACTGCACTGGTACTGTCACTGCGTAGTGCCGTGCTCGGTTGGTGGAAGAAAGGCTGGACAATATATCCCAGCCTCTTTGGACCAAGACCAGTCGATTCAGTGTCCACAAGAATACAGTTTCTGAGAGTTACATCTTCGTTCATGCTTCTACAAGAACGAAGCGACGCTTTCGGTGAAAATTTCCTAACAAATCCCTCTCTAGTAGGGCACACTCGTCCGATCACGGGACAAGTGCACGAGTTCCAGTATGGACACAGGATGAAGTGAGCAGCTCAGCTTCGTCGGACCAACACGATTGGACTCAGCGCCCAGAGAAGACTACAAGAAGGGGGAAATTTTGATTTTAGATCGTACTTCCAGCTGATTATAGGTGTTAACAGACGCGTCGACTCTGCTCCTGTCTAACAGGTTCAGGGAAGATGCGAGCTGTGTGTGTGCGTGTGTGTGTGTGTGTGTGTGTGCGTGCGTGCGTGCGTGCGCGCGCGCGCGTGCGCGCGCGCGTGCGTGCGTGTGTGTGTTATTATTACTATAGATGCACATCATGGGGACATGGGTAACTGCAATACTGAACAAGAGCAAGTGAATTAATGAGAGGATACAGTATGTTAGCCAAATTGCAGGGCAGTAAGTCGGATGGGTTCACCTGAATACACAGCAGAACACAAGACAAACACTGCACGTACCATTACCGGAATCGGGCGAGCAGCGGGCAATCGTAGCGTGCACACACATGCATGCCCGCACACGCACACACACACACACACACACACACACACACACACACACACACACACACACACACACACACACACACACACACACACACACACACACACACACACACACACACACACACACACACACACACACACACACACACACACACACACACACACACACACACACACACACACACACACACACACACACACACACACACACACACACACACACACACACACACACACACACACACACACACACACACACACACACACACACACACACACACACACACACACACACACACACACACACACACACACACACACACACACACACACACACACACACACACACACACACACACACACACACACACACACACACACACACACACACACACACACACACACACACACACACACACACACACACACACACACACACACACACACACACACACACACACACACACACACACACACACACACACACACACACACACACACACACACACACACACACACACACACACACACACACACACACACACACACACACACACACACACACACACACACACACACACACACACACACACACACAAACACACACACACACACGCGCACACACACAAACGCACACATACACGCACACACACACGCACACACACACACGCACACCCTACATCCCTTTCCTTCATACCTTGCTTAATTGTGATAAGTGTGGTAGAGAGGAAAACTGGTCAGCAGTCAGACAATTACTGCCTGGGCTTGAAGTCTTCGGAAGCGTAGGGGTCTTCTGTGTAAACATTCAACATACACATGTACAGCACTGTCGGGCGTTGAAGAACGGCCAGGCTGGAATATCACCAAGCACAGCATACCAATGCATACAGAGTGACTCCACTGAGCATAGACTGTAATACATGAAAATAAGAAGGGTCTAGGCTAGGAGGCTGACCCCCAGTTCTTCGGCGACCGACAGTAACGCAGCTATTAACTATTATCATCAGCTAATCATTGGTTCGAGGGAAACATGCAAACGGGAAAGTCTGAAGAGAAAAAGTGACTGTCACCGCCAGGACTCGAACCAGGAGGCCAGCGATGCTCTCACGACTGAGCTATGGCGTAGCTGACGTCCCAGCGGAGGCTGTAAAAACATGTTCTTCAGACTACGAAACTCACGCTTCCTCAGCTAATCAAAAAATATTATACACAGAAAACAGCGGCTTATCCCAAGGACTACAGGTATTATGTTGAAAGAAGGCACTATAAATCATCGGTGAATCCAAGCATGTTCAGTTGTCACACAACGACGAGAGACACTGTGCACGAGTTACTTGTTGCTTAGGTTCAATTTCACTTCAGACACACAAGGCCGGCTTCACACCGGGTACAGTACAGTCGGGTGACGAGGAACGCAGCGCCGAAGAACAGGCTAGGAGTACGAGGAACGCAGCGCCGAAGAACGACCAGGCTAGGAGTACACCAAGCACAGCATACCAATGTATACACGGTGACTCAACTGTGCATAGACTGCAGTACATGAATATAATCCTAGGCTAGGCTAGGAGGCTGACAGTACAGCATTGTTTCACATCTTCTCTTACTGTTTGTTGCTGCCACCACGGTGTCCATAACGAGACGAGGGCGGCTTGCTTGCCGGGATCTTGGAGGATACTTTCAAATTCCTCTCTCTCTGTCGATGTCAAGCACTGTAATATAGTCTCCGGATCAGCCGTGTCTGTACCAACGAAGAGAGAGAGAGAGAGAGAGAGAGAGAGAGAGAGAGAGAGAGAGAGAGAGAGAGAGAGAGAGAGAGAGAGACCACAGAGCAGAGCTGCATATCTCCCCACCAACCACGAATAGCAACAATGCATAGCAACTACAAATGGCAACCAACTGTGTGCATGTGCATATGTAGAATTTCCGGTATTGCTGTGTGTGGCACCACACAATGCACACATTGAACACTTTCAGGTGGATGTCTCGAAACATGCGAACAAGCCACATTGCATCATGAAACAACACCTAGTCACTATCTTGTTAAGAATACTTCCTACTCCCGTATACCCCGTATACGGTGGCTGATGAATTGACCGCCACTAATTTTTAGCCTGGTATCCACCACACAGCTGATTGAAGTGACTTTTTCTGGCCACTGAATCCCTATTTTTCATTTTTTTATTTTCCACACATGCACATACACACACACACACACACACACACACACACACACACACACACACACACACACATACACACACACACACACACACACACACACACCTTTTGACCTTTTGACGCCCATCGCCGGAGGCGATGATAGCAATGCTACGGCAGAAGCCATAGCAACTTGTGCTGGGATTGCACCATTCAACAGCTTGTAAGGCTGAAGAATTGACCGTCACTATTCAGCCTGGTCTACACCATACAGCTATTTGAAGTGACTTTTTCTGGCCAGTGAATCCCTATTTTTGGTCTTCTCATTTTTTTCACGCACACACATCACACCACATACTCCGGCATGCACTGGCTGTTGGTAACCACCCAGGAGAATGAAAGAAAAGTCAGGAAGATGAGAAAGAGAAGAAAGACGTGTGTGACCATAATCGTCGGGGGGACACACACACACACACACACAGTCAAGAAGCCTCAGCTACTCTCCCGGTCGCCTACAGACAATCACTTGGCCGTAAGCGGACAGAAGAACTCTCATCATTGGCAACTTCCACACCACGCCAACAATATCACCATCATCATCAACAACACAACCACTGCGTACGAATACCAGCAGTCGGTATACATTGCCACAGCCCAATTGGGATAACCTATCACTCTATACCCGTGTACCGGCATACCAATGCAGAAAAAAGAAAGAGAATTAAGGTGTTCGTTGTATCACACGTGCACGTGTACAGTAACTCCACGAAGAGCATCGTTCACCGTACATCATGCCAGGCAACAGCAGCCTGGAGTGGACTGAACTTGTGTGTGTATACAGGTGTGCAGTTACAGATCAATTCGGCATCTCATTGTGAGTGCGCAGTTGGTAGTACATTTGGCATTTACGCCACGAGCTGGCAAGTACAGTTAGGGTGACAAGCACAGCTGGGTCACTTCAGCAATGAAAGGACAAGATCAAACCGATCGTTCCTACCCAATCAGTCCTCTGGACTAGAACACTACGAGTCGCTTTGGGAGCATTGTCTCAGCATCAGTGGCAGTTCTACTCGACCATGCGTGGTGTATGTCTGTGCACACCACATCTGATGCTACACCACACGACAACGTGAGAGAGAGAAACATCAGACACAGCAAACACAACAACACCACCACAACATGACGAGAAGAACAACTGCACACATATCATCATGGACAATGCTGTCAACCAGGGAGAAGAAAAATACCTCCTTCTGCGGCAGTCGTCGACCTGGTCGTGCATGCTTGTGTCACCTCCCAGTATTTTATCATCCCCTGCTTTCAACTACATGACGGACCCAAGGCTCACTTCGTTACTTACCATGCTATGCTAGGGTGCTGAGTTAGGCCACACAGTGTACAGTGTACAGGCCCTGCTCAAATACAACACTACATCCCGTGACAGTACAGGTACTCGAGCGCAATGAGAGAGAGAGAGCGTGGCTTGCACAGACACTAACAAACTCCCCGTAAATAATGGATATTAAAAAATATATATTCATTGGTTCGAGGGAAAGTCGCAAACGGGAAATGTCTGAAGAAAAATTGACTGTCACCACCAGGACTCGAACAAATATTTATTTCGCTTTTTTCGTCACATCTTTTCACCTTCCCCTAACGAACAAACGCACTGCAGTATCTCTTCCACAAAAAAAGCACCGAGTTCTAGTAGTACGCTGCAGTGAGTGCAATACGCTAGAATCTCACCGAGATTGACGTTTGCAAGACGCTCATCCAGTGGTAGATCTGCAGTAACACAATTGCACACGCACACACGTATACACACACGTACACACACACGTACACACACAGTTATACAGTGTGGGCATACGCACACTGATACTCAGAAATACACAATCAAAAAGAGGACCCCGGGTTGTTCGTGTACACTCACACACGCACGCATGCACGCACGCACACGCACGCACGCACGCACGCACGCACACAGTCACACACACACACACAGAGTCAAGAAGCCTCAGCCACTCTCCCGGTCGCCTACAGACCACCACTTGGCTGTAAGCAGACAGGAGAACTCTCATCTAATCGGATAATGTCGGTGAGAAGTGGCGATGACGGCGCAATGAAAAGAACACGGCAGTAGGTTACTAAACAAAACGCACGAAAACTCCCGCTGGTCACGCTTCCCGGAAGCACATGAACGTCGCCGCAAGCAAACGTCCACGGATCCCGGAGGGTGCATTTTATTTTGAAACGTACTGCATGTGTGAGGTATGTGCACATACGTTGTTAATCTGTGCTGTGCTGTTTGCTGGACCCTGATGCAGCACGATGGTGCTAGCCTATCAGTCCTCTGAACTAGAACACTACGAGTCGCTTTGGAGCATTGTCTCAGCATCAGCGGCAGCAGCAGTTCTACTCGACCATGCGAGGTGTATGTATGTGCACACCACATCTGATGCTACACCACACGACAATGTGAGAGAGAGAAACATTAGACATAGCAAACACAACACAACACCACCACAACATTACGAGAAGAACAACTGCACACATGTCATAATGGACAATGCAAACTACATAGCGCACTCACGGCTCATTTCGTTACTAATAAATCATATCATGTGATCCCCAGCACCATGTTCCAGAGTACACAGAACAGTGTGTGTAGTAGATGCTAAGTTCCGCGGAGGGACATGTACGTCATATTTAGTGGTGTGCACGGGTAGTCGGGTACCCGTGCTACCCGTGAGGACCTCGGGTAGACGAGTACAGAATAGTACCCGAAAACCCGAAGTCGCAGATGACATCATGTACAGTGCACATATACACATTCATGTAATACGCCGCATGTCTACCCAGCAGCGGCCAGTGTGTAAGGGAACAGGTGCATTGTGGTGTTACCATGGAAACATTACCCGATCGGGTACCCGTGCTACCCGTAGAAAACTAATCGAATCCGATACCCGAAGAAAATGCTACCCGACTCAGCCCTAGTCATGTTATTAGAGTTCCACTGTACAGTGCGTACACATGCACATACACATACGTATGTCCACTAACCATCCTCTTCCTCCTCATCATCATCATCCCCATCAGCGTCCATGGGAGGAACAGCAGCCGCAGACTGATCATCCCCATCAAACAAGGAAGCATCTTCTTCTCGCTTCGCCAGCTCCGTCTTGAGATAGGACAGAAGATCCGCGTCACCGCCACTCGCACTTGTCTCGGCTCTGCTCTCCGACACATACGCACGCGCACAGACACAGACACACACACACACACGCCCGCACACACACACACACACACGCCCGCGCACACACACACACACACACACACACACACACACACACACACACACACACACACACACACACACACACACACACACACACACACACAAGGAGGAGAAGACATGAGTGAATGGCTATTAGGCTAAACTAACCACAAAACACTGACTGATTGAATTACAGCACAGCCATCAGAGCCATGCCAAGCTCCATGTACTGTAATTTCACAAATTTTCGGTTTACTTTTATTTTCGGTACTTTCGGTGCGTCTGTTTCATACCTAAAATTTCAACACACCGAACACACACTAACACACATAATCCAATAGGGAACTGCTTCTCTGAACCTAAAATTTCTGTTCACCTAACCTGGCCTTTTGTACTCATACCGAAAATTCCTGAATTAGAGTATGTCAGTGTGCCCTTACACGCCATTAAGTGATAAACCCATGTACCGTAAAGTACCGTTGATCCGCCCCCTCTCTAATTCCCGCCCCCTGTCGATTTTCTCCTTGTGAAGCGACTTCGGCGTATACAACGAAATACGATGTTGAACCGACGCATACACTGCTGTACACAATACTTGCCAATCCAGGATGAAAATGTGCACAATCCAGCACATTGAGTCTGATCCTCTATGTTGTTGTACATCGTACTGCACTTGGCAGCCTTCATCTAATTCCCCCCCCCCCCCCCCCCCCCGCCGAAAACCCAGCTGGGAAGCGACATGGCGTGGGGGCGGATCAACAGTACTTTACGGTACTAGTACTCCGACGAGTGTGCATTCTTCACTGGCTCAGTATCCGAGGTCAGCCTTAAGACGAGTGTTTAAAGTTACCGAATCGGACACTAGTACAGCCGAATGACAACTCTCCTGCCACATCAAGGAATAGACATCGGGTCAGCTGTGTGGATGGAATATCTCGAGCTTGTATGAGCTTACGGCACATCACGCACAATGATGCTGTAAGCCACATGATGAAGCAACACGCACACATGCACACACCAATGGGTTCTGTATGCTGAATACCACCAGAACAGAATTAGATAAACATAAGGAAAAAAAGGTGACAGACACCACGTACCGATGTGCTGCTAACTGTTTCATCACACACTCTTTATAGAACTCTTCAGAGCAGTTGAGATGCGACTACAGAGAGGGAGAGAGAGAGAGAGAGATAGCCAACAGAAACACAAAACATCACCACAGATATTCTCTATACTGTAAGTCGACAAATATTCGGCGCATATTAATGTTCGGCTATTTCAGCCTGGTCATGTTTGGCCGAAAATTTGTAGCGGCCGAAATTTTGTTTTGCAAGGTTCAGTGTGACAGTGTATACAGGCGACAGCAGTACAGGCCGAAAATTTGATGGGGCCGAAATGTGTGTTAGCCCTGGGAGGCCGAAATTTGAATGGGCCGAACATTTGTAGACTTACTGTATTGAGACTAAGAAAGCTGGGGACATCACGCAACTGCAATATGAAGAAACGGGGGTTTGTCAACTGCATCCTCTTTTGATTCTGGCAGTGACACTTTTGATGTGGAGACTGCGCTTCGGAGACAGCGTCAGACGACTCATGAGAGCTGAGCGGCAAGTAAAATCGTAAGCCAGTTCGCCTTCTGATGTCCTCGCCCACAAGGCTTCTTCGCTACTGGGGGTGACGGGATGATTCAGTTTCGCTGCCGACATCCACATCAGATCGAAGAAAAACGTGTCGCCGTCGCTCTGCAGACCCACCGCCACGGCCTAGCTAACACGCGACCAACCCGCACAGCGCACACCGATGACAGCGATCGTCTGGCCCTGCGCTGCTCTAGTGCTACAGACACGGACATTGACAGTCTTTGGTAGCCAGCTACTTGAACTAGACCGTTAAACAAGTGTTTGAACGAAATAATTTGAGAAGATGATCGCCACCGGTTCATGGGTGCAGCGTGAACGCGCTCGACAAAAACATTTTTTCGTTCCGTCATTTCTCAATTTTTTTACTTCGAAGTACAAAATCCAGACATGTTTTAGCTGACCGTGGCCTATGTACTAGTGCCCTAAAGCATGTACGCACACGCACACACACACACGCACACACGCACACACACGACGAAGAACCAGCAAACTCGTGCTGGCGCATACCTCATTCTTGTAACAGTCCACGGAGCAGTACGGTACGTTGCATTTTGGACATGTATAACGAAACTCCTTCACGTTGCAACTACAGAAAACAAAAGTACACAGAACAAATTTACGAACGCTGGCTGCATTTCCTGTAGACAAGTAGCAATGAGTGGACAAACAAAAATAAAATGAAAGGAAAAAGTGGACGGTCCTTACATTCCGCACAGCGGCTTCTTCTTGCCGGAGAGGACGTCCATGGCATGACCTTCTTGGCACAGTAGTAGTGGTCCTGGAGCACCCAAATTTAAACTGTTACTTGCAAGGTCGACTTCTTTGAAAAGGTTCAGGAGGCAATTAGCGGAAATGAAATAAAAATAATTTTGAAATTTCCCTTGGTCGAGACCGTAGGGAAAGGCCAACGGCTAGCCCCGCTCTACAAAACGAACTGCCTCCCAACTGCTGGGAGAGAGAGGCATATCAGTCATTACTTTGGAGAGAGAGAGAGGTTTGGGCCTGAAACATTTCTCACTTCTGCCTGAATTTCTGGCAGAAAATTACACCATGGCCTCGCGACGTCGTTATCTTCGTCCCATGCCCTTGATTTTGTCATTTTCGTGTCACAAGTGGCGCGAATCACACATTTTGGGTCACAAAAATAACAACTTTTTAATTTACAAGGCTCTCATCTCTCAACCATGCTCAACAATGTCAGCTCGGGCACACTGTGACAGAGCTAGAGCCTGTGTGCAAGAATCCTCCCGGCCCAAGAACTTCCATGTATGTAGAGTAAAGCTAGAGAGGCAATGCGAATGAAATGAGACTGTGACACAGCACAGTGAACTTTGCGTATAGCAACACTCGGCTGGGCATCGGAAAAGTGTCCTTATTCGCGATGTGTCTTTATACCCGAAGTCTCATTATAATTATGTATACAGGCAGAATGGATTTTGCTCTGGGCATGAAAATTCTGTCGTTATTCGCGAATTGTCGTTATATCCGCAGTCAGTATTAGCGAAGTCGACTGTACAGCAGGTGCAGAACAGCACACAATAACCACACAACGAAGTCCCAAGTGAGACACGTTAACAGCACTGAACGGCACTGAACGGCATTCAACGACCAGCCAATGTAACCACAACCACAACCAAACTGTTCATTCGTCAAGGAGAATCCGAGATGAGTCAACCATCAGAAACTACACAGAAAAGAGGAAAAGAAGAAGGCTGGAGCTAGGGAGATGTACAAGCCCGCCTGTGTTTCGTACAGTTCCATGACAGGAATTAGCTAAACAGAATAGGGCAAAGCGTGCTACATTTGTAGGTACACACACACACACACACACACACACACACACACACACACACACACACACAAATATCACAAGCTCAAGGGCTGTCATGGCTGTTCACTGGCAGTACGACTAGTGCGCCACTCAGCAGCTAGGATAGGGAGCAGGTCAGTCAAACACACACACAAACACACACACAAAGCGGTCCTCCATGCTCAACCGGGCATGGTGCGCACCAGTATCGCCTGGGTGCAAGGACAAGAGCCCCTAGCCCTACTTGCAGGCGCACTGCCCAACATACCTCCAGTTCATCAAGATACCTTGCACTCAGCTAACATAGTGTGCAGGATGCGTTTTAAAACAGAAGGCAGTTAACACAAACACAACGAAAGAAAATGGAAGAAGAGTTCCAGCTCAGAGAGAAACGATGTGTGCGGGTTCAGCCTACACAGTGCAGCGTGGAGTTGCTAAGGCAACCGCAGGAGCATAGCGTTGAGTTGCCATGACAGCCGCAAGACAAAAAACTGAGGGCAGAAAAGTCCTGCCAGCGCAGTTGCCTTCACGTGTGCATGCGCCTGCGCACATCATTGGTAATGGGTGCACCAGTTCAAGCGGTCTAGTACAATACTAGATGCTGGTCGTATGTCCTGCACTGATCGGATGACCACCAGGTCGTGTGTCCCCTGCTGGCTGACAACGCATCCCCAAACGCACCACAGTCAGTGCTGCCAATCATGATTCTGAGCAGGCACTGAGCAGCTCAGTCCTTGAATGTCGTCTTGAATGAAAAATCGAGTCGGGCTCATGCGGATACAAGTACGAGTGCATTATAGTGCACTCAACGTGTCCATTTCGGAAACATTCATTTCGGCCAAGGCGTGGATGGCAGCGGTCACTATAGCTCGCCACACTGACTGATCATGACCGGGAGCTTTGGTCGGTTGTTAGCGCCGGTCGGTACGCTTTCAATCTTGCGCATCACCAGCAATCCATCGATGAGCTTCCCAAACACAACGTGTTTGTTGTCCAGGAAATCACACTTGGCGCAGGTGACGAAGAACTGGCATCCATTCGTGTCCTTTCCGCTGTTCGCCATGGATAGATATCCGGGGCCAGTATGCTTCAGACTAAAGTTCTCGTCCGGGAACGAGGTGCCGTGGATGCTCACGCAGCCTGTTCCGTCGCCTTTGACGAAGTCGCCACCCTGGATCATGAAATCCTTGATCACACGATGAAAAGTGGCGCCCTTGTAGCCTATCGGGACGCCCTCTTTCCGGAACTCTCCCGTGCAGAACTGCCTGAAGTTCTCCGCCGTGCGCGGGCAGACGTCCGCGAACAGCTCCATCTTCATTCGTCCTATATCCTGGCCACCAATGTTGATGTCGAAAAACACCACTGGGTTACTGGGATTCGTGGGAGCTGACGCCATTCTTGACTGCAAGATCTACCCGAATGTTACAGGACTCGCAGTGGCCTCACTCGGATACTAACACGCCAGGGATCTAGGGAACACTCTTTCCTCAATGAAGAGAAAGGGATAGGGACGAGAAATAAAACAATTCAAATCTTTCTGCTTTATAATACTATAGCAAATGCAAGATGTGCAAACAGGTATGATTTTTTTTTTCAAAAGTCGAACAAAAACTTGAGAGACACTGGGCCGAGTGACACATACGCGTACCATCAGAGGAACGTCGAACACACCCTTGAACTGACGAACACACTGCACTGTATAATGAGACATTTTGGCGGACAACGCGCGGACGTCGACTGGTCGGAGTACCGCACTTGACTGTTGACACAGACGGTTCGACCGAGTTGTGGCCCTTGCGGCCTGGCCCCAGACCCAGGCCGGAAAGAGGGGAAGCAAAACAAAAGCAAACGACAATGGGTGTGTCAACGAATCATACGGTATGTGTGTATAATATTATGTGTGTATGAATGCGTGCTCGCGCGCGTGTGTGTGTGTGTGTGTGGCCGTGGGGGGGGGGGGAGGGGGTGTCCGCAGGGGCGTCGGACACGGTACGGTCACTATGGTATTGACGGTACCACCTTTGCCCCAAGTACCCCGTGAATCAATAAAATACACTGATCTGGGCTCTAAATTTCCCAAAAAATTGGCTCAGCAACCCCTCCCCCACAAGTAAATAAGTGCTTCAGATCGCTGACCGTAGCACACTAAAATACCTTCGGACGCCTCTGGTCCGGGAGGGAGAAGGAGGCTCTCGCCAGCCTATCACGGCCGATAGACACGAGCCGGGGCACGCGAGTGCATGTACTACTTACGTCACTGAGACAACGAGTTACATACCGGCATCTCGGGTTGGGAAGAGCTGCAACCACACACTTCTCATTCACCGACTCGATGCAATGCAATATCCATGAGGCCGCTGATTGCCACAAGATGCGGTTCATGCAGCATGCAGTGGCAGGTGTTCTCGGACTCAAGCACCGTGAATAGTATACGGTGAGCTATTGTCTAGATATACTGACACAAGTGCAGCTCGATAAGCCGAGAATACTAGTACAGCTGATTCTATATTATGTAACAGTGCTCGAGCAACAGAGCACAATACTACATAATATAGCGGCACCAACGACACTGCACTGCCGGCTTGGGAGAACTCGTCAGAGTCGTCACGCAGCGGTGCACCCACAGCAGAAAGAGGGTTGAGAAAAACAGCTGAGCACACTGGTTATAGTCAGTATACACTGTTATACAGTACTGTTATGCAATTGAGTATTGTACGTCATGATGTATTACAAGTTACAACACCGCCATACAACCAAGAGCAGTTGCACATGCAGTCAACTTCGCTAATAACGACTGCGGATATAACCACAATTCGCGAATAACGACAGAATTTCGATGCCCAGAGCAAAGTCCCATCTAACTGTAATACATAATTCTAATGAGACTTCGGGTATAAGGACACTTCGCGAATAAGGACATTTTTCTGATGCCCGGCCGAGTGTCGTTATAAGCAAAGTTGCACATATAAGTAAAGTACTCTTGACACAATCCACAGCACCGCACTGCCTTTCACAAAACCTGCCGCAATCGTGTACACACCATGACGCTCTTGTCCGAATCATCATCTTAATAATTAGCAAATTGGCTAAACATCAAGTGTTACACAGAAGGTCTTCTGGCCCTGCAGAAACCTTGAGAAATATGAATTACAGTCTGTATCGGCTATAGAGTGACCGGATATAAGAATATATTGGCTACAGTGATATTGGTACGAAATATCAAAAGCAAAACGTATTTTATCCAGTACAAATATCACTATAACCAATATTATCGGATATAATGATATATCGGATAATATGATGGCAACATACAATCAAAACATGCATAACACACTACATTATAATCGGCTATAGTGATAACTTTAAAATACATGTTGCAATAATATCAAAGGCCCTTTTTTTTACTTTCTTCACGTTGCTTATTTTGATAGTGACTCATGTACATGTACATAACAGAATTTTTTCTGGAAATGCGGGCACTGTCAACTATGCAGCATGCTCATTTGTCAAAACGCCATGCTGGAAATATTTCCTTGCCTTTCATGTGTCGATCGAAAAAAATCGATCGTATCGCATATAGTGATGCATCGGTTATAGTGATAAAATCACGGAAATCAAAAGGGTACGCTATAGCCGATACAGACTGTACTGTATTTCAATGCAACCATGGCAACTAAGACACAGTAACCACGGTTACCTATTTTAATATGTCCGCAATGAGGTGAGCAATAGCATTAAAACCAAAATTTATAGGCTTGCCGCAAATCCAAAAAATCTATGCTTTGCCGCTTGCAATAATCATGAACCTTGCCATGGCCGTTAGAATGCAATGCCAGATGAGTTATAACATGTTATCAAGTTCCTGTGTCATATGGAGCTCGGGGTATTTCGTGTGCTTTAATACTGTGATACGTGTCAAATAATTACTTTCGTTTTGTGATGTACCAGTACTGCCTGCAATGCTATTCAAGATATCATCAAATAAACAATTGACACATGTGCACACACACACACACACACACACACACACACACACACACACACACACACACACACACACACACCTGCCCTGTCTACTTGCTTCCAAAACGTCACTATGCGGTCCCATTACGTGTATGCACGTGTGCCTCAGTGTTAGAGAGAGAGAGAGAGAGACGGACGGACGGACAAATGTACAACAGTGTGCAGTCGAACCAGACAACAGGAGCAATACTTGATACGCAGACGAATCGTAAAACGTTTCAACCGTATTGGTCTTCTTCAGAATGGCTTGGACGGTTGAACGGACGAAGAGACAGACAGACAGACAGACGATAGACAGACAGACAGACAGACAGACAGAAAGACAGACAGACAAACAGAGAGACTCACTCTCCTCACTCACTCTCCTCGCCATACCCAGCCAGCTCACCCCGGAGATTGCAGCTAGGTGGAACGGTGTCACCGAAGCCAGCCCACTCTTTCAGCTGATGCCACAGCGACAGAGATTCATCGCCGGGTGACTCTGCCGACATCCGTGCCACCTTGGACTCCTTGGACCCCAGCTCAAATGCTGAGATAGAGCGGCGCCGAACGGCACTGGTCTGGTCTGTACTTAGTTTCTGGTTGGCTTTGGTGCGGACTGAGTTTGTCATGGTAGCCGGGCATGAATCTTGGCGCAGCCGCCGAGAGAATTCCTCCGCAGTAGTGACGACAACATGGGAATCGCTGCCATCGTGTGTTACGGCCGGCTGCTGGTGAAGATGGAGCTGTGTGCCCGTGGGTGCAACGCTCATGTTACGTAGCTGACCCAGCGGCCCTGGGTCATCATCAGCCATCATGTTGCTCTCCTGAATGGCTACCGGCTCATCCGGGTCGTCCAGGCTAGAGGTGTGCGAGATATCTCGACAACCACTCAGCTGTGACTGCAGTTTATGCTGTTGTTGCGATTCCAGTGGCGCAGAGTCCAACAGAAGTGACTCGGCGGACTGCTCAAGAGCAACAGCCGTGTGTTCAGAACTAGTTAGGATGGCATCGGCACGGATTGGCGAGTTTGAACGACTGTGTGCAGAATCCCCACTTCCTTCGCTCGGACTCAGCAGGCGGGCTGGACGCAAACCCGACAATTGATCTGAAGACTGGAGTCCGGCGTGGAAACTTTGCAATCGGTTCAAGCCGTTACTGCTGCGATGTCGGCTATTTCCTCCTTTCGGTTCCTGCATGAGTCGATACATTCTGGGCAGGCAGACGCAAGCCCATAGCGTGATTAGTGTGAGGGTACTGAACATACAAAGCTGTAGAGGGCGGATGGTCTCGTCCGATGTGGCGAAGTATGCCGGCAGCAGTGCAAACGACAGGAAGTCTGCCAAATCAGCACACACAAACACACAGACACACACATGAACACACAGACAACACATGAACACACATGGAAACTTAACACATGAACATACAGACACGCCACGCGTGCATGCATGAATGCACACACTCACGTCAACATACACACACACACACGTCCACACCACGCATGCATGCACACACACACACGCACGCACACACACACACACACACACCATTGGACCATTGGACGCCCATCGCCGGAGGCGATGATAGCGATGCTACTACTGAGCAGAAGCCATAGCAACTTGTGCTGGGATTGCACCATTCAACAGCTTGCAAGGCTGAAGAATTGGCCGCCACTATTCAGCCTGGTCTACACCACACAGCTATGAAGTGGCTTTTTCTGGCCAGTGACACACACACACACACACACACACACACACACACACACACACACACACACACACACACACACACACACACACACACACACACACACACATATATATAGACAAACAACATACGGATAGACCAAACAACAACGCTTTCCACTATTATTATTCCCTTCTTGTTTTGTCTTGTTTTACATTTCATTTTTTATTTCATTTTTTTGTCTTTAGTCACTTTCTTATGTTGGCTCATTATAAATTTATTATAAATTTTGATGCATACATGGCACTGTGACGCCGAGACCCATGGTCGGCAGAGTCCATGTATTTCGTCAGCACAGCTATTAACTGGCATTGTGGATAGCGCCTACCCAGTCCAATGTACTTTCTGTCTTTCAACATGATTTGTAGGTTTGTGTTCTCTTTAAAAAATATTGTAAAAAACAGAATCAAAGAACAAGCTAGACTGGAGTAGAGGAATTGAATAAATTCCCCGAAGTCATACCTAGGCTTGCCGGCATCATGAGCATGCTGCTACGCGAACGAAACATACACAGCATTTTCTATGGTAATGTAAAAGCAGAAATTTTCGGTAGTGTAATCTTTTCGGTATTCTTCAAAATTGGCTGTTCGGTGGAGGGAAATTTTCGGTTAACCCGTTTTCTAAGCAAGTGTACTAGTACCGAAATTTCCAATGCATTTTATTTTAAGTAAAAATTGTCGGCACCGAAGTTACCGAAAATAAAACACCGCCGGAAATGTCTGCTTTTACAGTACATCATGACCATGCATCAATGCACTATTGCTGAAGTTTCACTGTCAGTCCATTTGTCCAGCTTTTCAATAAGATTTTACGGTCCACGGACTAAATTTTCAACCAGAAAAACTCCCGTTCTTTGAAGTTGGACGAAATCATCCCTCGACTAAAGTTTTCCGCCTGTACAACTGCCATGCCGCACAGGGGCGGATCCAGGAGGGGTTCCAGGGGTTCCGCGGAACCCCCTAAATTTCGTAAATGTACTACTGGCAACCATATGCGTGCCCATGTACATGTATAAGCTATTCAGTTTTGACTATACTGGACCCCCCCTGTAGAGATCGCTGGATTCGCCACTGATGCAATGTCGCTTACTTGAGAGGAAGCTAGCCAAGAACAGAAATCCAGCCTCGTTGTAATTGTCCGGGATCTTGCGTGTTTTGTATGCCAGCACCAGTGTCAAGATGTTTAGCAATGACAGATAACTGTACAGTGAAAACAAAATACAGCATATAGCATATCCAGGATGTATCCAGCGGGATGTAACAATCATGATCTATCAAAGGGTATTTTAAAACAGTTTTTGGCGAAAAATTATGCAACTCGAAGAATAGGAAATGCGAAGGAAACGCAATTTCAAAACAGGACAAGACGCACCCTTTTTACTCTGCGGGCTCGCTCACCTCAGTTGTGAAAACTCTTGATCATCCGGGGCTCGCGACCCGTACTCATGACATTGACGGACAACAGACTAAACAAACCAGCAGAACTGCCGTACTTTCCAGAGTAAAGTCAGACCTTGCCGCTTATCCGATCCTCTTTCATCCGGATCCCTCGCCATCTGGAAGAAAATCGTCGGTTACCGATTTACAGCATATGTCATGCATACATACAGCATGTGTGTTCGTCTTTCCGGTTTCCTCACCTATCCGGACAATGAATTATTTGTTGAAAACGGATGTGTGCGGTTAAGCGAGGTCTGACTGTAATAGCAGCACTGGATTATAAGCCGCACCCGGGATTTTGGTTGCGAAATACAGACTGCACCTACCCTGCACTAGTATACAGACTGTGCCTACCCCGCACTAGTATCTCACGGTTCATTTGAGCAGCGTAGTATAAACCGCGCCGACTTTTTCGGGGTGAATTTTGAGTGTTTCTAAAAAATGCGGTGTGTTCTCCGGAAAATACGGTAGGTGCTTCCACTACCCGTGGACTAGCCTGACCGGGTACCCACCTTGCCAGAATAAGAATCCAAGCTATATTGGTGGAGCAGTAGAGAATCACCGTCTGGTGGGCGGTGATCACTTCCGTCACGCTCCTCGGCGGGTTGGTCAGCGTCCATATAAGGGACATGACGAAGCCGACCAGAGTCAGGATAGCCACAAACAACACCTGCAAGTGCATGGCCAGACACGTCGGGAAAATGAACAAAACGGGTCCGCTGAAATCAGATCTCGTGAATGCAGTCCGCCTTTGGTCCAGTTGCCTTGACAACCAGTGACACAGAACATGCATTAAGCAGAGCAGCACAGAGGGTGCACAGAGTCAGCATTTGGAGAGCTGCGTATTGTAGTGCAGAGTGCCGCACACTTTGTTTATATGCTCCCCTGCTCATATGGTTGGTTGTTGGTATATTTTTATTTTACCTCATCAACAGGCATTGCTGCCTTCTTGCGACAAGTGAACTGTCCAAGCTCTCACGATCACAGAGCGCCGAAGCTCAAATCAGGATAGAAACTTGCAAAAAGAAAAACATGATGTTGTGTGAGAAGGTTGATCTGACTGAGTGACGGAGGATCATCGGCATCCAAACCCCTCACACAGTAGACAGATAACAGGGGCGTATCTGGTCCCCCTTTAGGGGGGGTGGGGGGGGGTGCATGGCTGCATATGTGTAGGATGGCTGATGCATGTCATTCATCATTATGTGAATGCTGAACCTAGGTAAAAAAAATGTTAGGGGGTGCACGTGCCCCATGCAGGCTATGCGCCTGGATAACGCAGAGAAAGGCCCAACACCACCCTCCCCCCCCCCCCCCCCACCCCTACACACACACACACACACATACGTGCACGTGCGCGTACATACACCTATGCTGCCATGCAACCAAGAATATACGGCTACGCAAGCGGAGACACCCTGGCACTGACCTGCTGATGGTCACGCAGCTTGCTGGAGTCCGCCATCAGCTGGCGCAGACTGAGCGAGAAGAGCGCTGCCATGCGGCGCGTCTTGATCAGCATGACCGCGAAGCACGCCACTTGCCATGTGTAGGTCAGCGGCGGCTTTACGCTGCACGGGATGATGTCGTCCGGACGCAGAATGAACACACCTTGCGTCAGCACGCCCACAAACAGACAGAAGATGAAGAGCATGGTGAGCTTGAAGTCGGACGCACGTACTATCGGCGATGCGCGATACATGGCGTACACGACGAACGTGATCATGAAGAGAATGGCCGCGGACACCACCAGTACTGTGCAGATCACCGCCACCGGGGTCGGGAGAGCGGCGTAGGTTAGCTCGAGCGGCTCGCAGGCCGTCTGTGCCGCGTTTGTAAACGTGCTCGCGCCGCACTCCTGGCACGTTTCCGGGCTGGCGGCGGCCGAGCGAATGTGATGCGTGGCGCAGCGAGTGCAGTTCCAGCAACACGGGTCAATGGCACTGAGCAACACTGGGCTATAGCCATCCTCACAGGGTACGCTGCACTGGGAGCGCGGTGCGTTCTCTCTCCCAACACCGCCGCCGCGCGACAATGAACCCCACTGGATGTGAGTGGCGTTGTCGAGAACAAGAATGTTGCCGCCTCCTGACCGCACGCGCCGCCACGCACCGACCGTCCTGAGCCGTTTCTCCGTGCCGCGTCCTCCCGGAAGCTCAACCGTCTGAACGTTAGAGAGTATAAGGGGTGAGCGACGGGTCTCCCGGCTAGTAGTTCGAATGGCGTCTTGAAAGTGCAGCAGACTGGTGTCGGTGGGCAGAGCGATGGCGTAATTTGACGTGTTAAATAAGTGAGAGAAGTCGGCAAGGGTGCGGCGTATAACGGTGGTCGTCAGCAACAGAGCATCCAGTACCGGCGGTAGGATGTAATCGGCGAGCAGATCCACCTCGACGCCGCTGATCTGCCCGCCGATCTCGTCCATGGTGCACGGCGGTCGCGACGCCTGATCACCCGCACACGCGGCTGGCAACGGACCACACTGACTGGTCAGTGTCACACTCTCCCTGACATCCCTGATCCCAATACCAGCGGGACCTCCGCCACCGCCGCCACCCACTGCGGGATCCACCATGGTTGAGTTGGTATCGTCTCGGCTGCCGTTGCACGCGCTACAGCGGAATATTCGCTCCCAGTACGGCAGCAGCTCCGGTGGCAGATTTGGCACGCCATCGGAGAGGATGCCCTGGACGATCTCTCCAGCACGCCGCCCCGATCCGGACGTGGCGCGCCGCGAGACCATGAGTAGTGACGCGATGGCCGGATGCGTCATGACGTAGTGATCCCTGACCCACGTCTCCATGCCGATGAACACCAGCGGACGCACGCCGCCGCGGTGTAACGTGTCCAGCAGGTCGCGGGCAACCCTCTGTCCGGTAAGCAGCACCAGCACCTGCACTCGTGGCCGCTTGTTCAGCATATTGGCCAAGCCGCGCATGGCAAACCCGTTCGACTCTTCTCCGGATAGATGACTATCAATTGTCACGCAGACATTTGTCTGTGACACTTGGGACACCAGGTTGGCACGGATCATGCTCATGAAGTAGTTCGTGTCCTGGGTGACCATGGCGACATAGGACCAATCAAACGTGACCAGGACGTCGAGTACGGCCCGTGCCATGTCGCCAGGCCTCGGGGTCACGTGCCGGAGCAGCGATGCGCTAATGAGCGCTTCCTGGGGGTGGGCCGTCTCCGCTCCGATGCCTATGGCCGGTACGGAGTATACGGTCAAGATGATGCTGGCTGCCTGTTGTATGCGGCTGTGAAACGGGCCTAGGATGAGGCTGGCCGGCGGCAGGCGTTGCCGATAGCCCGTGCCCTGTCGTTCCAGCATGGTGCGCAGCTCGCTGGCGTTGGCACACGAGCTGGCGCGCAGCAGGCGGAACAGCGGCATGCGGCACACCGTCGGGAAGTGTGTGTCGTACGCGCAGCGGCTGACTAGCGAGTGCTCGGTTAGCGTGTAGGTCTCACGTGCGGCGCACAGCGGCGAGCTGCACGAATCACGCAGGTCGTAGCCCAGTGTGAGCGGCGAGCCGTCCACTGCCCGTCCTATCACGCCAACGTCGTTGTCCAAGTAGTGCAGGACGCTTAGCAGCGTCATCAGCATCGCCGGCTGAACTTGCTCGCCATCCACACGACACGTCACGTTCCGCTCGAACGGCAAGTCGCCCTCGCCACGCAACACGCGCATAGGAAACAGCCCGCCCACGATGACATTGCCGAGTTTAGACGCCAGTCGCGCCTGGCCGGCAGCAAACTGCGAATCCCGGATAGCGCACTGGGACACGACGAAATCCAGCGGTACGGGTGGTAGCGGCGATGTGGGCAGTTGACTTGGCAGCAGGTATGACGGTACGTTGGGCACGCACGACGCTAGAGCAGCGGCTGCTTCACAACACAATAGGCACACCACAGCTCCAATCCAGAAAGAGGAAGTGCTTGTCTTTTCACCCGCAGCCATTTTTTGACAGGTTCATGCCGCAGCGGCGCGTGCGGCAGCTCCGTTGAAAAGTGACAAGGACAAGATAAGGCTGCTGCGTGCAGGTCTGGCGCACTCATGCTCTGGTGATCTGCCACACGCAGACTGTCACCGTGTGTGCTCTGCAAAACGGAACCTCAAGGTTATCATGGTTATTGGGGTCGCGGCTGGGCAGACGATGATCTCCGCCTCACACAGCCACATCCTCCGTAAAGGATTTCGGAGCGCACAGCTGCTCGCACACGACTAAGCATCAAAACATGAACACCTCTTTCCCGTGCACGCGCTAGTCTCGATCCTCAGATGCAGAAGACCTAAAAATCTTTAGCCAAATATTTCTGGACAAGGACGCACATACATGCACTGACACTGGGCAATGGCATGCATGCATGGGTTACTTGAACTTCACTCAGTTCTGTCGGTGATCAAGTGTCTCGACTCTCGGTCATTTATACATGAATTGTACACATTGATATACCTGTGCATCTACTATACTAGTACACGATTGTATCCATGTCGTTGCTACATACCCGTATTCACCTACCACTCGTGTCGTGTACTGACTGGTCTGTAGCCTTGTAAAGTTGTAGGGAACCTTCGGACACGAAGGTTTTGTCGTCTCGACCGCGCACTTCCGTACATTCCTCCTGCAACGCTGCTGGCTTGGCACTACTACTGCCAGTATCTAGTACTACAGTACTGCCAGTGCTGGCACTGGTCAGTACTGCACTAACTAATATAAAATTACTTGGCTGCTCGACTGACTGACCAGACCTTCATCAAGACAATCATCATACCACTACTGAGTGAGGACTAATAGTACTAGTAGTAGTACTCAGGTATCCTCATGCCATGGCATGTAGCCTATTGTAGGAAGGACTCAAGCCAAGGAGTGATCGACTGACCTTCTCTTTGGCCTTTTCAACACATACAAAATCCAGAGGCGGAGTTGCAGCCACAAGATACCGACCACCTCGTTGCCGATAGATATCATTCTGTTGCTAGGCTAGCTATGTTGTAGTAGTAGAACTAGCAGTGTTTACTGCCGTACTCGCCGGTAAACGTCATGATTGACATGCCCCCTTTCGAACCCAGACAATCTTTTCGGGATTGGTCTATTGGTATCTGTGGACCCTACCCTATCTATAGCATCTGACCCTGCTGACAGCGTGAGTCCGTGTAGCGACTGATGAGTGCCAGACTGCCAGCGCTAGCGCCAGTGTCCGTGGTGTCCTCTCCTATAATTGTACTGTATACCAGAGAGGCTTTCCTCATCTTTGTTTGTAGACCACAGCTACAGGCACATCAGAATTAAACAGATTCACTGCGATTGTCATCATGGTCCTTCACTTCAGGCAGCTTGAGGTTGTGCCATGGGTGTGAGCTGACTTGAAGATGAACCATCGCCATAACTAACTGTTACTCGCAATAACTGAGTAACTAATTATTACTTTAATACATCGCTGATCTGAGTGGTTGAAGTCTTCTCATCGTCTTGATCACTATCACTAATCTTATCAGTAGTCTACTAGTACTACTAGTACTAGTACATGTACAACTACAAGGTCACATGACTGGCGCCAGGCTAGCTCACATCAAGCAACAGTCTGGTTTGCTTATAATTATTATTACATGTATACCGGGATGCTGGTGAGTGAGAACGTGAAACCGTGACTTTTACAGTCAACCACCGCCCTGATGTCTAGCTCATCACGTCTCGAATGCAGAAGTCAGCAGCCTTCTTTTTGGAAGGTTCTGTGAAATAATGTGAGAATGGGGAAGGTGATCGCACTCAAGACGGAAAGAATCTAAACATCACAGCGAAATAAGAATCTAGACTAGGTAAGGGAGTAACAGTCCACCACTGTAACTAGATACTACCGGTACATGAATCATGAGTCAGAAAGTCCAGCAACTTACTAGGAACCAAACTGACAGACTGAGAGTCAGACAGTGAGAGTGGCGAGGTATTCGACGACCTGACAGGCTGACACCTACAGTACAGTACATGCAGCTCCAGCACAATGTCATCTTCGAAGCGCTAAGACAGCAGCATGTCTCGTCTAGTAACCAACACTTGAACAGATTTCCAACTCGGAAGATTCTAGGTTACCACAGAGGGGAAGGTAAGCGAGCGAGAATGAGTACAAGCTAAAGTCGCACGGGAACAAAGAATGTCGATTATTATTAATTTGTTTCACTTTGAAGTAATTCATTGCATTCCCAACTCATCACAACCACGCGCTCTTCAGCCGAACCATACATACACCAGCAAGGACACTTCCGTTGAGAGATAATATTGCTCCACGCCTCTAGACAGCTGTTTCGCTCCCTGTCGGAGCTCATCATATGGCCGAAAGCTCTGTCGCAATATTTAGTTCACTTTTAAGTAGTAAAGAGATGAGCAAGGAACTACAAGTTACGATAATTATAATGTCCACTAACACCACCAGTTACTTGGCAATCAGCTCATGCGATAACATTGCACGACACTGACAGCCAATACTGACGTTCTACAACTAACTGACTATCAGCTCTAGGCAGTCTTGGGTGCGAACTCCAACAACCTTCCAACTTGGAAGGTTCTAGTACACATGTATGAAAACCTACTAGGAGGAGAAGGTGAGCGTAACCAAGACAAGACCGTATTGTCTAGTAATGGTCTTGTCAGTATCGTCAGCGACTTGCATGTACATGTACATGTACATCCGCCAACGTCCTTCACAGCTGGGACTTTCAGCTTGTGCTTTTCTTGGTTGCGCTCACCTTCCCCTCCTATGTTTTCATTATAACTTAGAACCTTCCAAGTAAGTTGGAAGGCTGTTGGAATACGCACCAGAGACGTGCTAGAGCCGATACTAGTAGCCAGTTAGTTGTAGAACGTCAGTACTGTCGGTCAGTATTGTGCATTGTTTTAAATTAAGTTATCGTATGAGCTGATTGATTGTCAAGTAACTGGTGGTGTTAGTGGACATTATAGCGTAACTTGCAGTTCCTTGGTCCTTTTCTTTACTATAAATTGGCTATAAATAGGATGAATGACGAAACACGAAGGACCACGGCACAGGATGGCCACAGCTCACTTCGAGAACGTAAAATAGCAACCGCCAAACTTGGTAGGCTCGTGTCTATCGGACACAAGCAAAAACAGGGGAAGTTATTAGTTAACACGTACATGAAGTGAGACGGACCGGACGGCACTATTATAATACCACTGGGAAGTACAATCGTCAATGTCATGTAGGATGGAACTAGGATGGAACTAGGATGGAACTAGGATGGAACTAGGATGGAACTAGGATGGAACTAGGATGGAACTTGTGGTGGACAGTGGTGGAGTTAAACATCGGGTCGTTGAACGTGGGTACCACATCAGTCAGTACTAGTATTGTAACTGTTGCAGGATGTTCTGTCTCACCAGTAATCATGGTAATGACAGTATCTTGCTTACAACTGTGAGTGATGGACAAACTACGGATGACATGTAACCGGGACTCTACCGACAGGTTTATGGTTGCAGTTAGGAACGCTGTTCTCAACATAGTGCGTCCTCCGCCTTAATTGTTACCTGCTGCTATATTTTCTAACACGTTCTACCAGGGAGTCGTAAAAGGTATTATACGACTCCCTGCGTTCTACTATGTAGCAGTGGTGAGACTTCCTGCAGCTTCATTTCTTTCACTGTATCTTTTGTACAGCATCTCTCTTTTTCCGAATTCATTTTGCACATTTTCTCTTTTTCCCAACTCCAATGTTCAATGTATATACACAAATAGGAGATCCCCCCGATAGGCGTCAGCCTTTGCCTTTGGCAGTTTGGGTAATCCTGAAACAAAGATTATTATAATAGTAAGCGAGGGTCCCTGGTTCGAGTCCTGGTGGTGACAGTCAATTTTTTCTTCAGATTCCCGTTTGCGTCTTTCCCTCAAACTAGTCAAGATAATTATATTATTACATTCATTTCATAGGAAAAAAAGGTTTCAGAGCAGACCCACTCTCTTCCCATTCACTCTGCAACCTCGAACTCATTAATTATTTTCTCAATCAATTATTACAACGTTTCGGCAAAATTGCCCTCATCAGGCATGCAATGTTTTTCCTAAGCTCTACTACGGTGTGTTGCTCCCAACGTGGGAGCTTGCGCTATTCCTGCCGACTTGAATTCTCACTTGACTGGCTCCCGACTGCCATCCAGAGCACACGAGAAGTCCATCGAACCTTCCACTCGGCCCAAACCTGCAGCCTCCTCAGCGTTTGTTCAGTATCTCCATGCGCGACACTGAGGGGCCGTTTACATGAGGACATCGTCACGTGGATGATTGATGGTCTCTGAAGGATGGGCTGGTGGATGGTGGTCTTTGATGGATGCACGATGGTGGATCATGCTCGATGGGTGGTCTTTGATGGATGGCTTTGATGGTTGGCAATCAACCGATACTCAGACTAGCCTGGGCCGAGGCTGAACTGACGCCAGTCGAGTCTTTGAACTTGAAGTATTCATACCGTCCGCGTCCGTAGTAGTCATGTACATGTAAAATAATCATGATGATCGCACGCTCACAGTGACCCACATGCACACGCGTTTCGGCGCGGAGCATCACGGCGGTACGTCATGCCCTTCCATAGCCTAGCCTAGCCGTCGGCGGACTCTGACTGATGATGCTGTCCTGACTCCTGACTCCGACTCAGCCTACCTAAAATCTACGCCGAAGACCCCGCTCTGAGCTGTGCCATGCCTGGCATTCAAAATGCATGCATGCGTGTCAAGGTACTTTTGCCCCCGCAGATCACGTGACTGAAATCCCTATGACCTGAGCTGAGTGAGGCGACACAAAAACCTTATTATGTGGACCATGATCATGAGGATTCAGCTCTACAGTTGTGCGGAGTAGAATCTACTGCGAACAGAACCGTCCTTACTTCGCCAGTCGTGTATACCTTACTTCGCCAGTCGTGTATACCTTACTTCGCCAGTCGTGTATATCTACGCAGGTCTACGTTGAGGCTGGGACTGACTGACAGTCTGTACTGCACTGGGAGTGGGAGTGTGGGAGTGGGAGTTTACACTGACAGTCAGTGGCAGCTGCGGCAGGGTAGATCTACGAATACGATTTCCAGACACAGCTCTGGGATTGAGGAAATCCACTCGATCGACTTCAGGCACACCTGAGTTCAGACAGTAGCACATCGTCATCGCTCAGGACTTCAACTAACTTTGTAGCTATTTACACAGGCCATTGTGTCATTGTGTCAAGAAGTAGGAATCATCTCGCAGAGTTTCAGCTCTTCTTCATCGCTCAGTCCAGTGTAGAGCCGAGGAGAGCAACGGGTTGTTTCCGTAGCGGGTGCTAGTTCAGAATGGCGTTGACCTGTAGTCGCTGGGTGCTGGTGGTGTTCAACATCCTCTTCTTCGTGTTTGGACTGGCGCTGCTGGGCATTGGTATCTACTCGCATGTGGAGAGTACGGCAGTGGATGACTATTTGCGGGTGAGTAGTCTAGCCTACTGACTAGTTAGTTTGAGTTATTTCTACTCCAACTACGCGAGTACGCGCTCGTTCTCTCATTCTTTACAGCACACCGATGCTAGGCCTGAGAAATCCGGCCTCTTGTGTTGTCCAGCAGAAAATTAACGTGGAATTACCGAGCCGGAATTATCCGGTATTTATTTTAGGTGTGTGATAAAGAGAAGATACTATGTTCTCTCCAGTCATGTAGAGTGGTGCTGTGTGTCCATGGTGACTCTGAGCTACTACGTTGTGGAATCGACACGAAATCAGGGTCGAATAGGCGCCCTGTCATTCGTTCTTGAGGCGCATACGCCGGGCATAGTTCAGTTTTGGGATGGGTCAGGCTCGTGTTGTGTTTGTGTGCGCTACAGTGTAGCAAGTGGTTGACCTCGTACTGTAGCGGAAACGCTTGTTCACTCACCTACTTGTCCGCCCAGTGCCATTCGTCTCAGAACTGTGACATGTACATAATTATCATGTACACAACAAAGTAATTAGTTATTGTCTTGATGTAGTTTGTGCGTAACGTAGACCTACGATAGACATGTCACGGTCTTCCAGGGGGTGTGCGCTGGCAGGGTTTTCCCACAATGACTTGTTATTGTAGATGTTATAATACTACACTGTCACTAGTACTAGTACTAGTACAGTGTAGTCATTTGACATGGTCATTCTGCAGGACGTCAGGCTGGGAGCCTGTGAGTGTGTGCCGCTGTGATAGCAATGACCATGACTCAGTCAGTCAGAGTGTGACTGTGAGTGTGTTAGTGTGCCTGCCCCCCCCCCCCTCCCGCTCCCCTCCCCTCCCCTCCCCTCCCCTCCCCTCCCCCTCCCCTCCCCTCCCCTCCCCTCCCCCCCCCCAAAGCAAAAGGTACATAAAAGGGTCAGTGATCCCACTGTGATCTGAACCATCCATCGCCTCTAGACAGTGTTGATCTGCTGTACGTGTAAACGACTATGTATGTATGTCATGTAGGTCGCAGTACAGTGTACTAGTATTACCGTGGAATCCCACAGATAAGCCCATACGGGCCATAGGCTTATCTGTTTCACAAGGACATTTCGGTGGGCTTATACAAGAACATGGGCTTATACGCGGGCATGGGCTTATACAAGAACATGGGCTTATACGCGGGCATGGGCTTATACGCCGACACCAAAATTGTGCTATTGTAAAGTACCAAGGAAGTGAGAAGTACCGTATTGCTGAAAACCACTGTGCAAACAAAAACAACCGATGATTGTGTTGAAATGTACAAAAAAAGATACAAAAAAACGTACATGTACTACGTGCATGGTACGACCTAGGCCCATGGGCTTGTACAACGAAGCTTCGCGATGTTCGAACTTGGCCTGGGCTTATGCGCCAACATGGGTTTATCCCGGCGTGGGGTTCTACGGTAGGCTAGTAGCCTAGCTAACTGTACCGGCACACTGGTTTGGTAATCATCTGTACAGGACGCGGCACACTGGTTTGGTAATCATCTGTACAGAACCCGGCACACTGGTTTGGTAATCATCTGTACAGAACCCGGCACACTGGTTTGGTAATCATCTGTACAGAACCCGGCACTGGCAAAATAGACACAAAGGACGATTAAAATACGAAACTCTCGTCGGATGTTGCGCCAATAATAAATAGAGAACGGAAAAGGGAAGGGGTAGGGAGTATCGTTTACAGTGCAATCGCCCTTGCCAAGTAGACCACATGTACTGCACAAGCAGAACATTTAGTTGGTGAATCGTTGAATCGTCGGGGGGGGGGGGGGGGTGTGTGTGTGTACACGTATGTTGTTAGTGTGTCAGAATATGGCAGCGTATCCAAGGTGTTAGTGTGTGTGTGTGTGTTAGTGTGTGTGTGTGTGTGTGTGTGTGTTAGTGTGTGTGTGTGTGTGTGTGTGTGTGTGTGTGTGTGTGTGTGTGTGTGTGTGTGTGTGTGTGTGTGTGTGTACAAGTAAGTGTGCTGATCCAAGGGGACTCGTCATGGCACGCACGAGTCATAACACAAACCGGAAGCTCAGCATCCTGTCGGTGTGCATGCTTGCCTGACCATGTATGGTCATGATGCAAGCAAGAGTCACCGCCTGCTAACCACCTGCTCTCCACCTGCTCTCCACCTGTTCTCTGTATGAACATGGGCTAGGGAGATGCAGGGGACCGCAGTGCAATACCGAGACTATACATTCGGCCAGATGGGACACATGGGACCCCCCCCCCCACACACACACACATGCACACTCAGGACGGCGCATACATCTTAAAATACAGATGTCTTCGCCCAAAATAAAATCTGTTATCCCTGCCGGCAATGTCCCACCTTGGAGACAAGTATTCGGCTGAACGAACTTACGCACGGTAACTATCTATGGCTGCAAGTCTTTCATAACTAGACGCCATGGAACCAGTAGACACCAGCACAGTATGCAGTACCGGACACCATACAGAGCGGCTATTACTGTATAAGCAGAAATATTCGTCTGGAATTAAATTCCGTCTTTTTCGTCCAAGGAGCTTTTGGACTAAATTAAATGTAGGACGAATATCGATTTGTCCAGCGTTTCTATACACTCTTATGATCTATGGACGAAATTTTCAACCGGACGAACTCCTTTTCTTTGGAGTTGGACGAAATTATTGACCGACGAAATTTTCTGCCTCTACAGTACCTTATTTTCCGGAGTATAATTAAGCTGCACTTTGAGCTCTCAAATTTCACCCCAAGAAAGGGGGTGCGGCTTATACTGCAATGATCAAATTAACGGTAATAAAGAGGGCAGATGTCTGTATTTCATGGCGAAAAAAATGGGTGCGGCTTATATTCCAGTGCGGCTTATACTCCAGCGCGGCGTATACTCCAGTGTGGCTTATACTCCAGTGCGGCTTATACTCCAGCGCGGCTTATACCCCGGAAAATGCCGTACTAGTGCTCTCACTGATAAGGTTGAGGGAGTTGAATTGCTATTTATACTAATGGCTAGTCCTACACAACACTCACAACAAGAACATAAGCTTCTCGTACATCCACTGATATGCGGGATGGACCACCTGTATAATTATAATAAACCAGTCCCATCGTATTTACATGTATTACCAAGAGTACATAACCCCCAAGAGTGTGCAACTCCAGCTCTAGGGTCTGCGACGGCAGAGCTTCGCATCACGTGATGAACCCGTACACATCTTTTGCATTCTGTGCATGATAGATACAGGGTTGTACGCAACCCAGCTTTGGGCTCAACTCTCTTGTGGTCACTTTGCACTGTTCGCCAGCGTAACCTTTTGAACCATGTCACGTGATGTGAAGTTCTGCTTTCGCAGCACAGCTTAGAGGTTATGCAGGCGGTTGCACACTCTTGGGAGTTATGTACTCTTGGCGGTTATGTACTCTTCGTATTACCAATGTGCAGTGACTGTTAACCTATCCAGAAAGATTACGGCACCTGTCTGAAAAGTGAAAAAGACAGACCTTCTATATTTGTATGGTGGCCGTAATGTCACAGGAGTGAACGCAGAGAAGCTTTGGTTCAAGTTGCTTGCTGTGTATGTGTGTGTGTGTGTGTGTGTGTGTGTGTGTGTGTGCGTGTGTGCGTGTGTGCGTGTGTGTGCGTGTTCATGTGTATATGGGATTGCGTGCGCGTGTGTGCACATGTATGCCTGTGCTTGCATTCTCTGTGACAGGTGATCGACCGTAGCGACAACATCTTCAAGAACTTTGGCAGCATCTGCATAGTCGTCGGCGTGTTTTGCACGGGGCTCGGCTTCACCGGATTGTTCGGTGCCATCAAAGATCATCGCGGATGCCTTATCTTCTTTGTTATCTTGGTGATCATCGTGTTTGTGCTGGAACTCGTCGCTGGAGGACTGGCGTATGGCTTTCATAACAAGATTGAGGTGTGTACGATAATTATGGATGTGTTGCTGCGTATTGTTCCTCGTGGAATGTCTGAGTGTGTGAGTGCTCTTTGCTGGAGGATTGCAGCTTCCAGAGCATGTGACCACAGTGCACAGTGCGGTACAGTCCCTCAGCTTGGCGTGAGGCGACTCTGGTGGTCAGGAACTTGACAATACTCGTGTACGCAGCTCATGTGCATGTCAGGATGGCCGAGTGGTCTAAGGCGCTGCGTTCAGGTCGCAGTCTACTTCTGTAGGCGTGGGTTCGAATCCCACTTCTGACATCAGTATCTTTTTTTTAAATCTTTTCTGTTTTGTTGCCCTTCACAGGACTCGGTTCGGTCTGGTATGCAAAGCACCATACTGGAGTACGACGGGGAAAGCTCTCTTTCCAAGGCAAGTATGGGACACATCAAGTCCTACCCAGGGTGCATACTGTAAAGCCAGAGTATGCCTGGATTTTTGTATGATTAGTTTGTGCTTTGTCTTCGGAGAGCTAGCTGCAAGAAATAACTAGCGCCTCTCGTACTAATGGAGCGGGGGGGGGGGGGGGCATCTTCTCTATGAATGTGTTGCGCATATGAATGGCTCGGCCAGAGGCTCAACGTAGAGAAATATGTCTGGTTACTCATCTAGTGGCTTTGACCCTATAGACCCATTGCGCATTGCCAAATATGGAATGTATGAGTAATGCTCGTGAGTACGCTGTCGCTGGGATCAGCAATGCACTGTTCAACACCCCCAGACGACCATGCCCAGGTGGCTGTGAAGGGTGTTTATGGTACAAATTAAGTCATTGCACCGGCAATGGGTCCATTGGGTCTCTGCATCAGTAGAGCTCCGAGTGACTTGGCCTGCAGCTGATCACAATCACGTCTAGTGAGCAACAGAACCGTGATTTTCTTTATAGGATATCTGGACACACGGTAACCACGCGGAGTGTGCAACTCCTAGTCTAAAGTCTCAATTGAGTCGAGCATGGCGGAATGTTTTCATTGCAGGCTCAGTGCAGCAGAGCCGTACAACCTACTACTGTTCAAAACGAAAATGTACTTGACAGCCTTTGGCCGATGTCTAGATGGCCCTCGGGGACAGCAGTACTGAAACGCTACATATGCTCCATTGAAGAATCCCGGCACTGTTCACTGACCGCCGTCCCGGCGTTCTCAGTGGGATGCATGTTCATGTAACGTTAGTTCCCGTGCGGTCCAATTTATCTGTGTTCGCCGCTCTACACGGAAGAGCCTATGTATGAGTGGTATGACATACATTGTATGGGTTGTTTGTATGGGTATGTTGCAAAAGAAGGATCCACGAGCGGGATTCGAACCCAGCACCCCTGTCTTTCCGGGACAGTGCCCTACCGATTAGGCTACCGGGGATCACACACACTCATGGGTCCTTCTTGCTACACTGCTCCCCCGCCCGAACAGGCTGTGTCCTCACGCCGTACCTACTCGCGGGGGGGGGGGGGGGTACGATGGGTCGTGGGTTCGAGCCATTGCCAGGCGCCAATCTTGCAAAAGAAGGATCCACGAGCGGGATTCGAACCCAGCACCCCTGTCTTTCCGGGACAGTGCCCTACCGATTAGGCTACCGGGGATCACACACACACTCATGGGTCCTTCTTGCTACAGGTAGGGTTGGGCGTTGTTATGGTGACCGATAGTTGTACCGTCAGATACTAAAAACAAGTCGTATGTGGTCAATTTACACAAACAAAAAGGCATCGGCCTGATTTGTAGTTAGTCTCAACCCAAAATCGGTTCGAAACAGAAGACAATGAGTTTAAACCTTGACCAATACCTTCTACCATCAACTTTGCCCATACCTTCCACCATTCACGGCAGGTAATCGCCCTGGTGTATGCATCGCGTCAACTGAAGGCGATTGATTACTCCTTCAACGTGTTCTTCTTGATCTTTTTGCCGCTACGTTTGTGAATGTTGCGCTTCCTCTCCGTGTGTGCACTCATGAAGTCCATCAGTCGGATGTGCTTCTGCCTGCTGCTCATCTGTTTACCATACAAATCTGTGTGCACCTGGGTCATAGATTGTGCGTGTACACGCACACACACGCGCGCACGCACACACACACACACACACACGCACACACACGCGCACACGCGCACACACACACACATGCACACATTCATACGCGTGAACGCCGCATGCGCACACAAAGTGGAGAAAACCTTCAACGGACAAGGGAAGAAAACTGAAGATAGACACTCACGCAAGTGTCAAGATGTGGATGATGCCATGAGACTCAGCCTCCCAGATACAGTGCTGCCAAACCGTCCGATTTTTGAAGGCTCTTCTGAAAACCGGTCCGAAAAAGGATATGTTCGAAAAGCAGCCAAAATGTCAGAGGTCAGTAATTTCCTATGCAGAAGTCCTGTATTTTCACTTTTGAGCGCAACTGAACGGACAAATCACTGTACACGTGCTTCTAAAAGGCGATTACAGTACATCTGGTACATTCATACAATACAAAGTGTTAGTTCATGATAACTTCTGGGCGTCATGTTGGTTACCATGGCAATGAAGCGAATTTTCTTCGCATTTGGGCGGGTTTTCGATTCTCTGAAAATTTGTGGTAAATGATTTCGGGCGAAAATTATTTGGCAGCACTGCATATAGTAACACTAGGATGTCATAAGGGCCAACCTCCCAATTTATTTTATTTATTTATTTCACCAATATCGTGGCCAGGGAATAGAGGCCAATATGGAGAGAGGGGGGGGGGGGGGGTGATAGCCAGCCATGGCAGTCTGTAAAAACAATTGTAATGCTGGGATGGCATAAGGGTCATCCCGCTCCCCTACATCAAAGTCACACAATGATGACGTCATGATTGAACGCTCCCCTACATCAAAGTCACACAATGATGACGTCATGATTGAACGCTCCCCTACATCAAAGTCACACAATGATGACGTCATGATTGAACGCTCCCCTACATGAAAGTCACACAATGATGACGTCATGATTGAACGCTCCCCTACATCAAAGTCACACAATGATGACGTATTGAACGTCCACAGTTGCTGTTAATACCAGGGAGTAGTACAATATTGTACTACTCCCTGGTTAATACGGAGGATTAGCAAGACGAAATTCGCGTTCGCGTTCGCAAACATTTTTCAGTTCGCGTACTTTCACATTTTTCGTTCGGAAAAGTAGTCGGAACACGAATCGCGGATTCGTGTCAGGGCAGTCATAAATTTACCACGCTGTACTGTCTGTACGCAATGTACGTCGTGTCAACGTCATGCATGTGCGAATTCTGTCTGCTAATCCTTCTCATAACGCGAATTCCGTCACTGAGTTCGACTTTCCTTGGAGAGCGAACGCGAACGCGAATTTCGTCTTGCTAATCCTCCGTATTTTGAGAAAGAACGGCCTCCATTGCTATGGTTGTTTTTCTCTTGGTGTATTTTCGCAGTCCTGGGATTCTATCCAGCGCAACCAGCAATGCTGTGGCGTCTTCAATGCCACGGATTGGGATGCGAACAACAACAACTACACCACGGCTTTCAACAGCACATTTCCAGCCAGCTGTGTTTGCCAAACCGAAGCAGGTAAGACGCGTTGTCACCACCCCTGTCATGCCAGGTTACTGCTGCTCACAAGTCCTGTCCTACCCGATCAAGTCAGGATTTTTCGCTCACGTGGCCACCTGAGCATCGCTGTATATGTACATGAGGATGTG